GGCCATGTTTTGTAATTTATTTTAGAGTGTATTAAAATTCATTTTTTTCCTTCATTGTCTTCTGCATTTGCTTTCTCTTCTTTTCTTTTCTTTTCTTTTCTTTTCTTTTCTTTTCTTTTCTTTTCTTTTCTTTTCTTTTCTTTTCTTTTCTTTTCTTTTCTTTTCTTTCTTTTCTTTTCTTTTCTTTTCTTTTCTTTTCTTTTCTTTTCTTTTCTTTTCTTTTCTTTTCTTTTCTTTTCTTTTCTTTTCTTTTCTGCCTCCCTTCCCAGATAATATTTTTACCTCATAGAAAACAATAGTAGTCTTTATTCTGGTTTGATCTCTCTGTGTACTGATGAGATCTCACATATTCCTAAAAGGGCAGAAGTAACAGTATGTTGAGTTAATCTGATCTTTGTTGCTCTGAAGTAGACACATACGGTGGCAGGGAATTAATTTAGAATGGGTTGTATATATTTTTTCCCAATAGGTTTGAGTTTCTAAGAACTAATCTGCAATATGGTAGACTGTTGTAATTCTGTGCAAAGTTATTTTCATCTCACATTGAATGACAAATACTGAATATTTTTTATGAAATCTGGAACAAGATAACTAAAGGCCCTTTCAACATATAATTCCCCTAAATAAATCTACAGAATGCCTCCTAGCCTGCATGATAACACAGATAACTTCTATTAGAAATAAAAAGGTCCTAAAGTCACTGGAAAGGGACAGAGGAAATCCATCTGTAGAATTATACATTATCAGGTTCTGGACCCCTTTCACTGAGAAAAAGTGAATTTCTCAGCTGAGTGCAGCACATGGTAGGCAACGCTAATTGAAAGGCTGGAGTACCATTTTCACATGAGGAACAGAAGCAGCTTGTGTTTAGCCTGGCAAAATGAAGCTTGGGGGTGCATAATTCCTAACTTCAGATGTATATCCAGAGAGTAAGCACTGTGGAGAAGGAAGGGGTGTTTGATCCATGGAGTAATGTTGTGTTAAGAATAAGTAGGCACACACTGACTGTGAATAAAGTAAATGGAAAGTTAGAAGAAGGTTTTTTGAGAAAGAGCTTTTGGAAAGCTGTTCTTTTTTGCTGTTGTTGTTTTGAAAAAGAACATTAAAGAAATGTTGCGTGAAAGAACATTGAAGACTTTCAGTAGAGTTTACAAAAAACTGGGCAATTCTGCCTTTGCAGCTGAACTGTTTATGAAATACTTTGGCTGCTACTATTGCCTGCAGAAAACGAAGGTTTCATCTCAGTGACTTATGATACCTGTTCCAGTCCTGTGTAAATTTTAATGAAATGTTAATTAAAAAATATATTTATAGATAGTAATTTTTGAACCCTGTAGAAGAAGTTAATGTGTAGACAGTCAGAAATGTTTTGGAAACTATTTATAGTGCTTGAAGAATATTTATTTAAACCTTGATTTCTCTCAATGTGTTCTTTATTTGCTGTATGAATATTAAAATGTTCCTGTGTTAAATTGACACACATAAGCTGAAGTGTTGGTGTATCAGGGCATCATTTCCCAAGGATGTGAAAATGTATCTCAGTGGAAGGAATCTGTATGAATGTTTAATTTCATTTTGATCCTTTAGCAGTGGAAACCACAGAACATGGTAGTTAAGTAAGTTCTGTGTTGCATACTTAACCACTAACAATTGGACTCATTCTGCCAACATAGCTTATGACACATTTGTGTTAATGAAAAGAATTGCAGTAACTTTAAAATGTGTATTCTTGCCCTTGCAGCTCACCTGTAGGAGGAAAGTGAAATTTCCTATCAATTGTTACTTTTATTTCTGTTTATTTTACTGTTTTTATTTTACTTGTGTTTTATTTTTACGTGAAACCTGTTGAGATTTCTTCTTGTCTTTTTAAGACCTTTCTTTCCATTGGGTGAGATAGAGGATTGTCTTAAAAGGTTACTTAACATTTGCAAACATATTTAACAAAAGACTGGATTTAACAGGATTAAATTCACACCTAACAACCTTTATAATTTATTTTCTTTTAAACAGTGAAGTGACAAAAATTAGGCTTCTTTGTGAGATTATTTTAAAAGTACCTGATAATGGCCTGGCTGTTTCCATCCATTTTACTGTGCTTTAAAGAAAAGAGGTTTCAGGAAAATCCTGTCACCTAATGCAAATTTATATATTTACTTAAGGAGTTTTGTGGCTAAGAAAAACATTTTTACTTCTCACAAAGCTTTTGGTAGTTCCACAGAGATTTGCTCAATGCCACCATTTCCTTCTCTGTATCACCAGCTTGGGCCTGCAGACTGTCAAGGCACCTGAAGAAATACATGAAGACATGAAGATTATATAGGAAGGAATGCCCATGTTATACCATGTTATATTTTATCTTGGAACTTGGATCAACAATATACAGGAAATGTTCTAAGAGAGCTTTTTTTTTTTTTTTTTTTTTTTTTTTTTTTTTTTTTTTCTGTCATGCTTCCAATAGTAGATGTTAGTTGGCACATTGTTCTGGCAGCTCTTATGCTGTAAGGGCTTCATGCAGCGTATTGCTCTGTACATATATTTGCCCTGATTTTAAGCAGTTAACCTTCGTCACAAGTTTTCCATTGCTGCTCTTCCCCAACTAAAATCAAAATCAAAGCACGACTCCCCAGATCCAAGGCACTTTTCTGGTCAGCTATTGAAAACTCGTGTTGAAGTTGTAGTTTGGGAAACAGCAAGCAAAAGCAGTCATTGTCTGCAACAAGTTAGTGTCTGAACACTTACAGGGGTTGAGCGAGAGGTCCCTGACACCCAATTTTTTGCACAAGGCTGTGCACAAAGTGCACAAAGAAGTTTTGCAGGAACCAGACTGGGCCGCTGGCCTACAAGCAGTGTTGTGCTGTCCTGCCCACTGAGACAGAAGACAGTACTAGTCACACTCCCTCGCTAAGCCCAGCTTGGTGTAACAGCCCAGCTGTTAGGCTATCTCTGCTTTGAACAAGTCATAGGGTAGCCAGGAGCCTTCTCTCAAGTTGCCTGATTTTAGGCATTTCAAATGTGTCAGTCAGCCCACTGAAGTCCCGAAAAGCCATGTGGTGGCAGAACGACAAGGGTTATGCATTGGTGTACTGCAGAAAGCCCTAGTGGAAAAGCAATGTGTGTGTGCTGTCAGGGCTTAATGCTGATCAGGCCGTGCAGAAATGCTCCAGGTATTAACTGGACTCTTCAAAAATACCTGTGGTGTGCATGTGTTGTAGCTGACGTTATGTAAAGGCACAGGGGTTTGCAGCAGTTTGTCAGTAACCTGGGTGCAGCCTGTTGGTTGCTGTGGTGCAGCATGGCGTTTGTGTCTGTATCCACGCCTGCCTGCTGAGGTGGCTAGTGTAGCAGTACTGCAGCTTGTAGAAACATTCCGGGTTTTGCCTGTAGCATTCACCTTTTTCTGAGGCAGCAGACAAAGTAGAAATAGCTAAAAGTAGCTTAGCAAAAGTAGGAACAAGATGGGGTACTGAAGTCAGCTGTGAGACACAGGCATCCTCTTCCAAACGGTAACTCCATTTCTTCTCTTTCGTTGGAGCAGCATAAATGTCTGTCTACAAACTTGAGTATGGGTGTGTGGTGTTACTTACTGCATTTGGTGGCCTTTCAAAGCTGAACTCATAGTCACTCAGTCTAGAAGGATTTATTGACAGCTTGTCCACAATTGCATTTCTGTTGTGAGAGTAGCTGATTGTAAGTAAATAACTTGGCTCCAGAAGTCGTGTGTGTGTGTGGTCCTCCTCTTCTTCCTTTTCCTCTGCTCGGTTTATTATTTCTTAGCTGGTAGTTTTTGTAGGACTCTTTGCAAATGCTGAGACTGGAGAGCCTATGTTAGTGAAAATGCTGCCAGGATATTTAAGTCATGAATCTCACCCTTGCTTCTAGTCAGAATGTCTTTCTTTCAGTATCAGACCACAGCAGGGTAGTGTGATAGCTCAAGTGGACATGGTTCATCCTGGACCCTCCTGAGGCATGGAGGAGGTGGATATAATGCCAGGCAATTGTTCCCTTTCTCATTTTCTCAATGTTAAATTGTCTAATTAGAGAAACAAATATGTTTTATGCTACTGCCCTGAAGAAGTATTCCAGCAGGTGGGTGCAGGGGAGCTTTGAAAGTCTCTCTTGGACCTAATTTTTCCTGTTGATCTCTTTTGGTCACAGCATCTCACTAATGGAGACCTGTGATAAAGCTCTAAGAGTTACACCCCATTGCTATTTTAAGTAGACTGTCATAGACAAAATACTGCCTTTAGTTCAACCTATACAACCAGCTGGGCCTGCAAACCAAGTAGTGTCTAGGAAGCTAGAGGTTTATTTTCGTCTGGTAGCACTGTAATTATTACAGCATTTGGAAGATGCTTTTCTGCTGGCGGCAGGATGGTATAACTCACAGTGGTCCTGTGTAAGCCCAGCATGTGGGATATTGTTGAGCCTTGCTTCTGGCTGACAGTAATATCACATTCAGCGTGTAATTAAACAGTTCATAAACTGCCTTGAGATGTTTGTTTACGGGCACTTTACAGCAGAGAAGTATGGTGTTTTGCAGGATGCTGAAATTTCTGTGCTCAGTGAAGCATTTGTATTTGATATTCAGTTCCCTTTTCTTTGACGAAAATACTCAGTGACCAGAGCACATTATTTTGCTGGCAATGAAGTACATATGGCTTGGTGATTTTCCCATGAATTTCTATTACTGATTTTTTGATTCTTTTGTTTCAGCTACATGTCAAAATAATTGATATAGATACGTGTACGTGCATCTGTATTGATATTTACATTAAATTACAATTTTAAATAACAAAACGAGTTTGTGTTTTGCTTTACAGAAATAATGCTTGTTTATGATTACTTGGGGATAAGCAAAAACACTTAGAAATTGGAACACAGAATACTGTGTAAAAATGTGAGGATACTGTGTAAAAATTCTAGGTGAATAGAAGAAGATGCTGCAAGAAAGCATTAGTAAATTTTTGCTGTACTTTATGCCATTTGTTTTGTTTTACCAGTTTAGAGTGAATGAATTTGGAGCCCTGGAGGTGATTACGGATGAAACTGAGATGGAAAATGTTAAAAAGGCCACCGCTACCACAACTTGGATGGTTCCAACTGCTCAAGAAGGTCAGCTAAGAGGTCACTGCAGCTTTCTGTGATTGTATTTTGTTTAATATAACAGTTTTTCAAAAACTGTTTTATTTTGCCCCCCAAAATAAAATAAACTTATTCACTTAATGCACAGAGTATCTCTGATGATCTTACCCGTTTCTTGGGGTGTTAATATTTATGAAAACAAATGTTTTTTAAATTAAAAGGTAATAATTCCACTGTTAAACATCTGAAGTTGAACTACAGACATATTTTTTTTCTAACTAATTTTTTCTAAGTTTAGAACTGGTATTTTTCTATTACATTTTATGTAATTTGAAAAGAAGTCAACATCTTACTCTAAGTTATTCATAATTTTTTAGATATTATTTTTATTAAGCTGGTTTTCCAGCTTGCCCACAGATTTTACTAACCTCCTACAGTTTGTTTGTGATTGAGGTTTGTAAACTGCCTTCATGTAATATTGGTTGCTACTCAACTCCTACCACCAGTCTCAATGTATGTAGTATCTGTCTACAAAATAAGGTGCTAAATGAGATACTATGTTTCCTTGATTTAAAGTACTGATGTAAGTAAATACCTTTATTGTGCAAATAAGGTTGGTTTACATGGTCAGAATTCTGAAAATGTTGAGGCAGTGATGGAATATCATGAAAGGGAATATCACAGCTGTTTTGTGATTACTTACAGCTCCACTTTTGCAAATAATTGAAACATTTATACCAGTGGGAAAGTACTTTGGACCTCAGCCATGAGGTCTAAAGCTTCAGACCACAGATAATTTTGTTCGATAGGTTTCCAAGTCAGCGATAATTTCTCAAATATTCAAGATTCAAATCTGTGATGAGAGTGACAGCAATGCGATAATATAGTAGCACAGCAGATTGTATCTTTAGGCTGAGAGATAACAGTTACCTATAATAAAGCATGCAATTTCATCCCCTACAGTCTGGTAAACCTAAAAAAAAATAAATCTCACTACTGAATTAAAGTGTGTTTAAGGGCATGTAAACATATTAAGTAATCATCACAAATATCTTGCATAGTCCTTGATTAATTTATTGCTCCCCAAAGATGTAATATTGCTAATATTTTCAATTATGAGAGGAAATGGTTGTTTTGAACCTCTAATGACACTGGAGTGTCATTATCCCATAAATAATGTATTACTCTGGTGGAGATAGTCTGCACACAAGAGTTCGTTTGACTCCATTTTTAAAAACAGTTCGGTGCTCAAGCAAAAGAAATGGTGACTTGAAATGTGCCTTTTGCGGGTGCAAAGTCAACAGCCTGCTTTAGGAACTGGAGAAGTTTAGAATGCTGCATGCTTGCCTGTGAGTAAAGGAAACAGCATCCTCTCCTAGGCTGCATACCTCTTGTGTGAAAATCATAGCTTAGGATTGTGAGTAACTCAATATTTGAAAATCTATTTATTATAAAATAGATTTTTGTTTGTTTATTTGCTTGTTTGTTTTTACTTTACTTTTTTAACTTCTGCTCAACCCAGAAGAGTTGAGCAATAGCTTCTGTAGTAAAAGACTGTAACATTTAGTGACTAATTTACTTCCAGGAATAAGTTATTAATGACCTATTAGAAGATAACTCCTCAGGTGACCCTTCAGGTCAGAAATTAGGCATTTCAGCAGGACGTGAGGTGATGAACTCCATTCAGTGATGACTGGATAGTCAGCAGCGTGTGTGTGTATCACAAAATTCACTCCTTCCATGAGTAGCAACACCAGCAGTGTCAATGTGCCAGTGATAACAGAAGCATGAAATTAATAGTTTTAATAGTTTTAGTTTAGTTTTAATAGTATGGGTGTGACCCCATACAGACACTAATTCTCATTTCTTCATTTTAACAAGAGTGGCATGACTTTGGTATCCTATTTGTTTGGCAAGAGCTGAAAGTATGGTTGAAAATGTATCACCTCTACCTAAGTGAAGTTACTTTTTTCATTGTGCAGCCTTTTCAGAAAAGACAGGGATCCCCACAAAGTTGAAGGAAACTGCAAAAATGGATGGACTTGTTTTCTGTGAAAACTGTTATCGCTATGGTACCATAGAAGAATTTGTTCCTGAAGGGAAATTTTGCAGCCAGAAATGTGCCCAGCAAGTGAAAAACAAGTAGGTGCTATTATAAAGCATAGATACAAAGAATTTGGCATAAATGCGATAAAAATGGTGGGATAAAACATTACTGGTAGGCCAAATAGATATATTAAGCAGCCATATTTTGGTCACTTTCCCACGGTTTGTAATGTTCTTTCACTGGTTTTGGACTCAGTGCATTATGAAACTTGCTTTTTGTCTAACACTGATGTTGAAGGCAATCTTTTTTGCTCAGAGAATTCTGTGTTCTGCTGTCAGATGCAAACAGTGATACAGTCTATGGGATGTGTGAATCACTGTCAGACTCCTACCCTGTTTCATAATCATTGGAATTAAGATAATCAGTAATGAGATGGTTGGTGTGGTAAGTTAATTGTAATTAAGTTCAAGAGTTGTATTATAGATGACAGTGAGTGAAAACATGAACATAGTGTGGTTTCTCAGTTCCTTTTCTTTCAGCTAGTGCAGTTCATCTCATCATAAAGGAAGACCTGTGTTAGTAGGTCCACTCTGTGTTGTATTCTACTTTATGGCAATTGTTAACATCTATGATTTTGTGCATTTTCTTTATTTTTAGGTAATTGCTTCAACATTTTCAGTTCTGATTGCTTGTTTTGCAATTTGTACAGTCATATACCAGCTTTCTCCAACTGGATTTGTCAGTCTTAATAATTACCTTTTCTTCTCTTTCCATGAACTGCCTTGTAGTCCTTAACATTTCAGTTTGCTAATCTGTGAGATTTGATGGTACATGAGAAAAGACACACTGCTTAGAACATGCAGAACCTGTTTGGTGCAGGCTGACAGCTTTCCTTTTGCAGTTGCTATTGTGGTCTTTCAGCTTACTTTTTGACAGATGTAATTTTCAGTAGTTTTTCTAAGAATGTATTATGTATAATACCCCAGGATCTAGAAACACTTGACTGTTAGATTTACTCGCATTTTACTTGTGTCATGAGTATGAGAAGTAAAATAATACTGGCTTTGTGTCATTGTGTTGCTCTTGTAATAGAGAACCAAAGGAGGAAAAGCCCAATGTGGAATGCAATGGGGAAGATGATTCCAAAGGCATTCGGAAAAGAAAAGCAAAATTACCTCTCAAAGAAGAGTCCAGGGATAATGGGGAGAAGAAAGAGAATCCCAGTGAAACTGTTAGTATGCATCATAAACTCATTTCTGCAAACATTTTAGTGGGATTTTTGCCTTATATTGCAGTATCAGTAACTTCATCACTCTAGAAAGAGAAGTGACTGTATGGTTCTGTTAAAATCACAATAAGTAGTTGGTTCCCCTTCCAATTTAATTATGCCTCATTATTGAATTCCAGTTGTTGACAATGAACTGATAGGATTTGTCTTTTTGCTCTTCCTTTCTTTTTTTAGAACAGAATAAAAAGAAGTTAAAGGAAAAATGATGCTAAGACTTGCTATGACTTTAGTATAGAAAAACAGGACTAAATGTTTCCCAACATCTGTTACTTTGTCACTCTGCACATGAGTAAATGATATATATTTACAAATAATTTATTTGTAAAGAAAACTCTGTTACAGTTACATAGTGTGTACTTTTGATTTTTGTAATGTAATTTGCCTTAGAAAATCATAGCCAAAGATGAGCATTGATGTTCATCCTTTCAGCTAACAGGGCTTTTCATTTTTTGATTCAGGAGGGACTGTATGCAAATTGTCTGATTTCTTCCAACACACAGTTAGCAGTGATTACCACATTCTCTGTGGGTAATTATAAAGATATAAAAAACACATGAAGCAAACAAAGTATCCAGGTCCAGTGTTGAATGTGTTTACCAAGATGAGTAATCTAACTTTCAAGGCTTTCTCACCATGAGCAAACCCATGTGGCTCTTGCTGTCATTGCCCTGCTTGTTCTGTAATAGACTTTTGGTGGATTCTGGTTTGTGGTGACAGTTACTACTTAAAACTATTTGATGGAATTTAGGAGAAACATTTCATCTGTACTTGAGATATCTTTGCTGGAGCCCTGCACAATTAAATATATATACATATATGTATGTATATATAGAGAGAGAGATCCAGAAGAAGCATGCACAGTGTTAACAGCCTTGGTTTTTTACGGAATACTCTAGGTGTTTTTGCCCACTATAAATCTCAACGTGGCTCCCAGTTTACATGTGTGTTGTCTTGTGCTGTTGGAGGACATACATGCAAAATCTTTCATTGTGCCAGGTGTCTGTGGAGTATTTCCTGAAGGAGTGAAAGTGAAAAATTAAAAAAAAAAAAAAAAAAAAAAAATTGATTGGGATTTGGTTTTGTTTTATGTTACAGTGTAATGAACTTTGGGGCACTATTTGTTTTTTCCTTTTGGAATTAGTTTCCATTTGAGACCAACAAATAAACCTGTCGCAGTACTTTCCCTTAATGTTTGTTTTTCTCTCAATAGCTATGGTGTTACTGGGAGAAGCACAGTTTGGAGGGAGAAGGGAAGGACACTGCATTTGTAAAATTGTGAAAAGGCAGGAAACACCAGAGGTGTCAGAAGGCAATTCGAGTCTCTGTGTCTGACAGTGTCTTAGGGAAAAGTTAGGGGACAGCTTCTTTACCATTGTTAGTCTGCCCTTCCAAATGGGTAGTTACTCTGTTCATCTGTTCAGGTGCCAAGACAACTATTACTAAGGAAAAAAAAAAGAAGAAAAAAAAAGGATCAGTGCCATTTTATGTTTAGTCAACCAATTATGCATTTGAAAGGAAAACAACAACAAAAAGATTAAAGTTGTGAGAGGTTTTCCTTTAAGTTATTTTGGAAGTGCAAACATATCAAAGATATTGGTATTTATCTCCAGCTCAGGCAGCCCTGCTAAAGGGTTGGTGATCATTCTCAGCCTTAGACAGGACTCATCGGCTAAATGCCAGGTGCTGGAGTCCTTCTGTCTGTCATTTCCACTGTGCTTGCTAAAGTTTGTCACTGGTTGCTTGCTTTGTATTTAGATATCTACAGATTTGTTTGAGATAGTGGAGAGCCTTTTCAATAAAGCCAGAGTTAAACCTTGGTTGTCTACATTTTTGCCATTAGACTTCGAACTAATATGATTATTGTACTCTTTTAATATAGGAGGACAAGCCTGAAGGAAGGATCTTGAGAGTCTCACAGAGAGCCAGGAGAAAAAGAAAAGGGGAAATAACAGTTTTGAAACAAAGTAAGTTAGATTATGAAACAAAATCTCACGTATCACTTATTTATGTGATATCCATCTCATACTGTGATTTGCCGGCATTGTATCACTGAATTTTTATTGGTTCTTGAATACGTTTTTTGTCAGTCTGTGAAAATACAGTGCCAGTGTTATTTATAGTAATTAAGTTTTAAGGATTGAAGAACTGAGGGAACCAAATGGAAACTTCAGGGGGAAAAACATCACTTGGAGATTGATTGCCTTTTACGAAGAGCCAGTTTTTATATGCCTGGCAGTGTGGAGACGCAGGGAGTAAGTGTAAGTGTAACTGATGCACATTTGAGGCTTTTTTCTTTCATCCCTTTAAAGAGTGCTGGTATTAAAGGGAATCAGGCCCATTGATTTCCCAGATGTTGAAAGACATGTATTAAGCAGAAGTGAAAGTTTACTTTTGTTTCCTTGGGGATCAATTTTGTATCTATGGTATGGCTGGAAATAGACACATTTATGGAACTGTTTAGAAATAATTGCTATAATCAGTCCAAAGGGAAATATGCTGCATGAAGCAGCATAATAAAACATATTTTAAATGAGTGCTGTTTTTTTCAAGCTGTTCACATGATGGATACTTTCAGGAAGATTCAGAGAATCATCAGCTCTTATACCTCACTGACACACCAACCAGAAAGCTGCATCTTGCCCTCCAGGGTATTTCTTTTGATAAACTGGGAGCCATTACCAGAAGTTGCCTTCAGCACGGAGCTCCAAGTAGCTCTGCTGAGCTCTAGATAGATGATACACTGATTGAAGATGCAACATGTAAAAGTCACAGAAGATCCCCCTCCTGAGATAAAATTACTCCTGAAATATAAATATCATTACTACAGTTGTTTCCAAAACTGTATGAAGTATGAGAGATACAAGCGCAAAGCTTGAAAATCTTGAAATCACTGCTGTCCAGTGACAGAATGATTTGTATGGATTTCTTTTGTTTATTAGGCAGAGTGTCAGCTCAGCACATGAGCTGTGGTGTAATGGAACACTGTATATTCAGAACCAAACACATAACAGTGTATTATTGTGGCAAGTAACACATTTCTTGAATCAGCAAATCAGCTGGATAAATCACAAACAAAATGAGTGTGCTTTAGTAGTGTTGAGCAATTGCTGTGGTTCTGAAATGTGTTATCTTTTGGTTAAATTACTGGCTTTCTTCAGGAGAGTTTGGCATCACTATTGCTATGGTGAACATTTTAATTATAAAAACACTCAGCCAGACGGCTACTTAAGAGGCTTATTTGTATTGTGAGTAGCCTGCATGAAGGATCAGGCTGGAATCATACTGTGGACTGTGAGGAATCCTCCTGATGGCATGAGTTTATAGTCTGAAATGCTAAGCTACATGTACAGAAGGAGGCATTTAGGCAAAGATCAGTAGAAAAGAGTGGAAGTGTATGAAAATAGATACATGCATGGCCAGCCTCACAAACCATCTGTTTTTGAAGTTCCTGGCTTTTGCTAGTGCAGTTAGTGCCTTATTTTCAAGGCCTAAAAACTGCTACTCACTACTGTTTCCTTAAGATGAACTATAGCCAATATTGCATATGTGAGTATATGCAAGTGTTCATACTATATGAACAAACCTGAAACTGGAGCTTTCCATCTTATGCTAAGGGAAGGATGGGGGGGGAGGGGGGAGGGAAGTTGTGGTGACAGTTTTGAAGGTTTAGAAAAATTATTGTTAAATCACTGCCTTTCTACCCAAAACCATCAAAGTACAAAGTGATGAATACTGTCACAGAATAACATATTTCAACTAAGATTAAAAAAAACATGTCATGACTGCTATCCAATTGAAAATGCTTTCCTGAATTGGATTTTTTTTTTTCTGATGAGTTTTTTTAAAATACAGACCTACTTTATGTGATTTGCACTGGTCTTCATTTAAGATTTTTGCAAACTCTTTGCAAATTGTACATCTTAATGCTTTCTTGGGAGGAATAACAAAAAGGTACAGAGGGCAAGATTACACAAGCTGTTCTCATCATGTAAAACAGCTTTTTCTTGGTACTAGTCAAGATTTGAAATGATGGAAATGATTCTGTACAAATCTTCATGTTCCTAGTGCCATTAAACCTACAGAGCCATTCTTCCTGAAATTAATCCAGAGAAACACCATGAATGCATTTAATAAAACGTAGATTTGAGATAAGTATATTATGCACTTTTGTTTTCTTGAGAAATTAGTTTAGAGAATTCTCTTGCTGTTCTATCCTTCGCAGCTGTACACTCTAAAGGAAAGCAAGCGTGGTGTTGGGCATCCTATCTGGAGGAAGAAAAGGCTGTTGCAGTACCTACTAAGCTTTTTAAAGAGGTATGACCTTCTGGAGTTGAAATTAATCAACCACCATGACATTTCTAGGGAAATCAACTTTAAGAAAGTTGAAGATTTTGCACTTCTGTAGTGGTAGACCTATGTGATTAAGGTAATGCCATCCATCAGATATAATATTCAGAATATGTGTAAAATTAGTTATCTCTTTCTGCCTTTTCAAAGAAATCTGTGGTTTCAGATGAATGCTGTCAGCTGAGACTATAGAAAGCAGATGCTTTTCCAAAATCTGCGAGTTCTAGCCTTTGCTTCTAATTTCTGAGGCTAAAAATCTGATATGTATCCTCATTTTTCCATGCTGACTCGTTCTCTTTAAATACATTTAGAAAGGTGATACAAAGGTCGTCAGAGCTTGTTGCTTGGATTATATTACCTGTATTTTTGCAGCTCTTGCTGATGTTACATTTCTGTTATTACATCCGATACTAGTTTGTCATGTTCCCATTTTGCCTGTCATCTGATTGGACCTCACATCATTATCTCTTGCTTGTCCTTTGTCTGCTATCGTAGTCTTTGTCATGTGTCATTTCAGTGCTTTCCCTTGTGCTTCCTCTCTTGCTTGGATGAGAGCTCTGTATGCAAATCACCAAAGCTTCCACGCTGTTCTCTTCTTTTGCAAAAGATGGCAAAACATGTGAACATGTCTCAGCTGCTATACTTCTTCAATGTATAATTCTAACAGTTACAATACTACTTTTTGATAATTCTGTCTTGGAGTCTGTTTCTTGCATCCATTTGTTTTTGTTTGCCTTATACTTCAACTATTGAGTCTTTCATGCAGAGATCAGCTTTTCAGCTTACCTGTGTGTGTGGTGCTGACCTTTAATTAGTTCTTCTAGACATTACTGAGATACAAAAGTAATTAAAGAACTAAGATTGCAATGTACAGAATCCAAAAATATCTAAGTGCAAGAACAACAGTTACCTGACCATCATTTGTTGTATCCCCCTGTGCTATACACTGGTTGAAAAATTGACAAGAAAAAAAAATCCTGGTAAGTAGTGTCTCTATCTGAAATGTAGATTTAAAAGTGTTGCTCTGCCTGGCTAAAGTTCCATGAAATACTGCTGTCGCAGCACCCAGGCATGTACCAGCCTTTCTGGGCACTGTGCATAGTGATAAAGCCTTGAGTGACGTGATGACGTTCTGTTCTCTTTCATTTTCCTCACAGAGTACGTTCCTCTTTTGACGCATCTTATTTATATTTACTTTTAAGGTCTTTATCCCCTGGATAGCTTTTGGTTTGGTATTTAAACCCCTGTAGTAGAAAGAGCATTTTTAATAGCACTCAGAAGTGGCCAGCTAATATTACTCCAAGCAAACCAGAAAAACAGTAATGTTAAAACCAAACCAAACCAACCAACCAACCAACCAAATAAAAAAATGGCAATAACAATTCTGAATCCTTAATTTCTATTTGGATTATGAGAACTAGTTTATTTATTTATTTATTTATTTTTCCCAGTTCAGAAGCAGTACTTTTCAACAGTTGTTTTGTTGTTGTTGTTGTTTTTGTACACTTTTTCAGGAATGATTAGGATAATGGAGAGCTTGGCATTCCCTCTTACTTAAATCTTAGACTCATTTCTAGGCTGTGACTGACAAGATGTTATTGTTCTGGGAAATGGAAATTATTGACCCTTGAGTTTTGTTTTTCTTCAGTGTCCAACTGACACAGTGTTCTGGTTTTGGTCTATGTTCCTGCACCATACAAAAACATTTCTAACCCTCAGTCTGTCATCTGCTTATTTGCTGACTCCTTTTACCTTTACTCTTGTTTTTTTTTTTTATTTATTTATTTGTTTGTTTTTTTTTCTTGTACCTCTCCTTAACAATGTAACTTTAAATGTTTGTTATCAGAATGTGTGATAACTACATTTGTTACAGACTTTACCTTGGGTGATGTATGATATGAGAATAATGCACAAAATTGAAATCTTAAGTGGCATTAAAGTTACTAATCTTCTAAAAGTTGTGTTATTTTGTTGTAACAGAAATATTGTGTTGCCTTACAAGTTTTAAATTTGACAATGGAAATAATAGTGAATAATTAATGTCTCATATTTCAAGAAATATCTGTGTGATAATTGCATAATTTTTGGTGTATCGTTTGTAGAATTTGAAGTTTTCATTGTTTATTATAATGATGAAAGAATAAACGGATCCATGACTTTTTAATTGTATCTTTTCTTTGTACATTTCTTTGTACTTGCTTTTGAAAAACCTCAGTTACCTTTTTGGCCACCGTTCCTCAGTGTGTTGGCAGTTCCAACATTTCAATTTTACACCAATAATTTATCTGTAAAGATATGATGTAGATAGTATTAACTGCAACAGTGTGCAACAAGATAAGCTTGAAAAATCCAGTTTATTGATTTTAAAAACTGCATTTCTTTTACTTTCATCTTGAGGAAATGTACAGAATTATGCATAGTGTAATTTCTTTAAAATTTCTTTGATAAGAAATACATTAAACATGGCACTGTTAAGATGAAATAACTTTTCAAATCCATGTACTGCAGTCAGTCACTCTGATCTCTTAAACTGAGCTCTACAGAATGATCTAACCTATTTTTTGGTAGTCTTAGAGCTGTGGTTACACATCTTAGCTGGCCGCGGTAGAATGATTTCAACTGGTCTAGCTCTCCTTTTCCTTTCCCCTTGACTGCATATTCCTGCTCTTGTGCCATGCACTACTTCTTTTTCTCGTGGATTTATTATTCAGATGAGTTACAGCCAAAGCCATCAAAAAGAGGATTCCCTTCTTTTCAAGTTCCCTTCCTTTCCATTGTGTGCAGAGGTACTGTAGATGGCTGGATAGCATGTGTAACATGAAGTTAAGAAAAATGAGTCCCCTCTTTATGTTTTTCTGTATTTATTTCCTAGCAGAGTTTTTGATATTTTGACACAAGTATATTCTGTATTTTTATTTCCTTCCTTATTCCTATGTATTTCTTCTTTCTCTTCTAAACATTTTGAGGATTGTATATTGTTTTAACTATAAATATGTTTGTTTTTTACTTGGTAATGCACATATTCTCTTTGTATAAAGCATTGTTAGTGTTCTGTCTAAATTCAAGGAGAATTTTTGACTAAATCATGGTGTGTAGTGATATCAGAAGCATACAAAAATGGTTTCAATATTTAACTCTCTGTATAAATAAACAAGAGTTGCCCCTTAGGGTAAGACGAATATCCTGTATCTCACTAATCAAAGGCAGAAATAAAAGGGAGGGGGAGCACATGTGATGCTTCACCTCTGTTTTATCAGTAACTGTTCGGGACATAGAAACTGGCAGTAAAGTTGGTAACCCCTGGAAAATTGTCTTTGTTTTTATGCAGCTGTTTTTCTGATGTTCTTCTTTTCCCTTCCCTCCCTTTAATTTAACCTTAAAGCTGGAGTTTCCTTCTGTAACAGAGGACAGGGATCATGATACAGGGAAACTGATGCCTTCCACTTGAAAGTATCCATTCTGTTTAGCCTTGTTTCACTTTCTTTTTGGAAAAAAAAAAAAAAATGTTTTCCTGGATTCATTGTAGTGTGATGTAAGGATAATCATGTTCTACTGATGCAAAAATATTCCTGGAAAATGAGCTTATAAATGAGAAATGACATTAAAGAAAATGATGTTTTGTATTTCTGTTTTGCCATTCATTGTTGGTGACCTGAGATATAGAAAAGGCAAAATAGAATTTCACTGTTCTGTTTATTGTAGGAATGATGTCCAACAAAAAAGGTGTTGAAGTGTCACTGTACAGGTTGAAAAAAAAAATAATTACATTGTTAAGATGTTTTATTGACAATTAGTGGAAAGTTGAGGGCAAATCATCTTTTCTTTTTTTCTCTTATGTAACTTTTTTGCTGATTCCTTGTAATTTTTTGAAGTACTCCAAAACCCTAAGTCATTCTAATATCAATGCATTTTTCAAACAATCATCAATTTCTCTTTTCCTTGGTTGCATTTTTAAAAATGCAAAACTTACTTTAAAGTGATTTGTTAGTTCCTTCAGAAACACGAGTAATAAATAATCACTGTTCTTTTCCTTATGAAGATATTCTGTCTGTCTTTGGTATACTTTCAAAAATATTGAAACTGTCGTTTTCCATTCCAGTATCAGTCTTTCCCATACAACAAAAATGGATTCAAAGTAGGGATGAAGCTGGAGGGTGTGGATCCTGAGCACCAGTCAATCTACTGTGTTCTCACAGTGGCTGAGGTAAGCTCCCAGACAGTGAAAGGGGACTGAGAGCAGCCTTGATGCAAGATCACAGAAGAAATTCAGCTGAAACAGCAGCAGCTGGAAGTGCTCTGTCTTCTCTAACAGACAGACAGAAATTGTATGTAATAAGACAGCTTTTAAACTAATAAGCTAAATCTGCCTGACAAACATGTGATGATTATGTCCAGTACCATGCAGCAGTGGCTATCTGCATACCTTTAACATACACAGCTAGAGAAAAGAGTGTTACATTATTATTATTGGACAGTGGTTTTTTGTGTTGTTGTTGGGTTGTTGTTGGTTTTTTGTTTGTTTGTTTGTTTTGTTTTGTTTCCTGTAATCATATAGTTTTGGCTAAATCTATACTTAAAGGAGAAAATAAATTTTAAAAACTTATGTACGACAACTGATTTTTAGAAATTTTATAGAGGTTTGATAGTACTGCTGTTGGTGCATTCATTGATACAAATAAATAACTTTTCTTTTTTGTGTTGCAATTGTGCTAATTTTTTTTCAGGCTTATTGCCTTAGAAATTGCCTGTATTGGCAGCCTCTACAAGTTAGTATACAATGCAAACTCAGTTTGCCTTTTTGCTGGCTTATGAAGTGTTGTTTCTTTTTTCATGAGAAGTTTCTTTGCTTTTAATAATATAGATGAGATCCAGCTTCTCAGTAACAATTTGTATGTCTTTTAAACATATCTTACATGAGTTTTTGCACATTAAGGTTCCTTTTGTTGTTTGTTTGTTTTTTTTTCTGTGTATTGAAACAGGGAAAAAGGAATAGGTAGGTATTCTGCTCTGTATTGGATGATACACTGGTATCCAAATGCACTGGTATTCTAGGCAGCTTTAATTTCATTATTTATATTTTAATAACATGTTTTTTTTCTTTACTGTTTCTGAATCTCTTCATGGCCCATGGCCATATCCCATTTCTGTGTATCTCTTCTAATTTCTTGCGAATGGTACATCAGTAGATGAGTATTTCCTGTGCACCTGGTGCTTAGCAGTTAGTGATGGGTTATATTTTATGGCAGGGCGACCTGTCATAAGTTCCAAGGTGACAAACTGAAAGTTATGTCAGAGTGTAAATTAAATATAAATATAAAATAGGGTGGCTGTGATGTTAAGAGAATTCCTCTGATGACTGCAGAAAAGTTTTGGCATATGGCACTCAGGAAGATATAGAGAACTTCAGTGCAGAAAAGAAGGATTGTATCTCCTGATTTTCCCTTTAACTTGGTGATTAACTTAATACTTTAAGGAATAATGAAGTTCTGGGGCATATCTGTCTTAACAGTTCTGGAGACCATGTTTAACATAATCATTGTTGGCATTCTAGCAATGCTCTCTTGCATATTGATTAATCAGGGTACTTTCAAAGTAACATTATCTGCACTTTCTCCATGATCATATCAGCTGTATCCATGGTCTTCTCTAGGATTTCTATTTTATTCTGATGTTGGGCTGGAACAGTTTTCAATTTTTTTGAACAATAATAGCTCTTGAACAATTTTTGAACAATTCAGCTCTTGTTTAATGCTTTTTACCAGAAGAGGAGGCACTCAGATACTTTGCTTTTTGTCAAGCTTTCTTTCTTATCGAGTGAGTTTATTCATCCAGTGTTTGCCTGAGCAAAAGTAAAAGGCTGCTAAGAATATATTCATATACTTCATACTGAACAGAAGCTGTTATGTGTAGGGCAGATATCTTAAATCTTATGTTTTGTATGTTGTACATTCTTGCTTTTAGGTTTGTGGCTACAGAATACGACTCCATTTTGATGGATACCCAGATTGTTATGATTTCTGGGTGAATGCTGATTCTTCAGACATTCATCCTGTTGGATGGTGTGAAAAAACAGGTCACAAGCTTCACCCACCTAAAGGTATTGTTTAGTTTGAAATGTGTGCATTTTCCATAGCTCTCTGATTGAGACTATCTATGTAGTGCTGTAGTGTTGTGGTGGTTTTGTTTGTTTGGTTGGTTTTGTTTGTTTGTTTGTTTTTGTTGTTGTTTGTTTGTTTTTTTGTTGTTGTTGTTTTGTTTTGTTTTGTTTTGTTTTTATTCTTTTAGTCAGAATATTGGAACAGGGCAAACTAAATTCTGCCTTAAGCCGTGAGGTTGAAATCCTGCCTTTTTTTATGCAGTGAAAATTCAGAGAACACAAGAAATAAAACAAACCAGAAAAGTCATTCATAAGGCATTAGGAAAGAAAGTTAAGCAACAAAAATAATTCCCAAATGAATGCTTATTGAAAGTAAACTAGGAGCATCTTGGTGACATGTATGCTTAAAGAGAGATCTCACAGGCAACTGAGAATCCTTTAGCGGAGGGTCTCAGAACATTTTCATTATTACAAATTAACAACATACATACTTTGGCATAGACTAATGACGATTGTGTGCTTCTGCCTCAAAGATTAAGCTTAGGGAGAAAGAGTAATGAACAGATCAGGATGGAGAAGACAGTGTGAAGATTACAACCTGAAAACATAATTTGTACATAGGTTTTTTAAATGGCAGATGTCTGTTGAAATATTTGGAACTCTCTTCTTTAAATATTCCATTTAAGGTTATATAACTATTTTATTTTGGTGGATAGAGGGCATCTGCACTGGACAGCACCATGACAAAATGGACAAATAGACTCCCTTTTTTGGGGGGAATAGAGTAAATGGGGTTAAAGGGAGCATGTCCCGAACACAGGAGAATAAGAAATTAATGGGGTGTTTTGACATACAGAGGGTAGGATTACATGGTTTAGAAAGTCTGCAGAATGATGATTGCAGAGTCAGAAGATGCATTCTAGAGAATTATAAAACTGTGGATGCAAGTGCTCAGGTGTGAAAAGTGAGAGTGAAGCCACTGAAAATATATGGGCCAAGGGCTTGCCACTGTGGGAGAACATGGCATTTCTACAGCTGAGGCTTGTAGGAAGGAACATGGACTGCAGCTCATTTGAGAACTCCACAAGCCTCTCACAGGCTCCAGGGCAAGAGTGTTCCATGCTGCCACTTGAGTACCTGACCTTTCTTTGGATCATAGTTCTGCATAACTAGCTATGTAGAAATAGCAATTTCTTGAACATAAATCAGATTTTCTCAGAAGGTTGGCCTTCACTGTAGTGATATGTAGCAAATGAGTTACAGAGTGATTTATGTTATTACAGCAAGCTTTGTAAGTTTAAGTTTAGTACAGTTTTTCACCACACTAAACCAGTGGATAGCTCTTTTTACTTGGGAAAGTCGTGGAGCCTATCAGAGGTATTGAGAGAGATAAGGAAATCTGGAAGTACTTGTGAGGAATCTGGTTGTCATCCTGCACAGCTATGTAATCCTGCTACCCCCAAGAACATATTCTTGCTTTTAAATAACAAAATCATTCTCTGATATTTTTATCCAAGACCAGCAAAGTATGTTGCCCTTTGTGTAGTTTGGCTCCTTTGCTTCACCTGAGCAATAAACTCTTTGATTATTGAGGTGTGGTTCCTGAAACCTGTTCCTTACTTGTGGGACTTCTTCCATTGTCCCAGTGCAAGCTTAGCTTGCATATGGGATGGAAAAGGAATGGGAGAGAACAAGCGGTACTGTACATCAGAAGGAGGTGGGAGGAATTGGACATTCATCAGTTAAAGATATTTTTCTAGTTTTTCAGCAGGAGGTCTTTCATTGCTTATGTTTTACTGAGATTTGTGGAGTTCTGTTATTCCAAGCGAAGGGAGTTCAGTTTGAGGTTGTTGGAGTTTTTTGTGCATTTTTATTAGGTTTTGAGGAAAAGCAGATTTTTTTCATGTATAGTACATTTTTTGTTTCCTCTGAAACTTCTTATGTCTAGTGGATCAACAGATAGGTAGACAGATTGCTTACATTTTGCTGTGGTATCACATTTTAATAGTGCTCTCTATTTGGTGCCCATTGCAGATTGTACTGACACTAAAGCTAATACCAGTTACAGCAGTTTGCTTGGGGCACTGCATCATATATAAAATACTACTTCACAGAACTCAAACATTTCCAGAAACATATCTAGTCCTAATAAGGTGTAATTTCATAAATTCTTGAAAATAAAATTTTACTGACAAATGATTAAGAAGAGTGTTCAAAGTGAGAAGAATTTTCAGTTTCACAGAAGATGAAAATGTATTGTTGTATTACAAAAAACCAAGACCGTTACCTAGTTAACAAATTATGTAATGTCAGTTAGCATTCACATTTTGTGCTTTTGAATCGACTGGAAATTAATGAAGCCTGTAGTTTTAATTAGTGAATACTGTGCTATATCTACAGTGGCTTGATCGAATTGACCTTCAGTCCTTTCTTGAGTGATAGATAATGTAGGAGGTAGAGATATTCCTTTCTTACGTAGTGACTAGAAGATCCATGCTGTCCAGAAACTGTCTACAAACACAAATTAATTTTCTTTTAGCTTTGTCCCAGTACCAGTACCTGATCCTATTGTAGATGCAGTAGGTGGGAGTTTTGTCTCCTGTGTGTTAGGAGTTGTCTACTGTGAGCTTTGAGTTAGGTCTGAATTTTCTCTAGAATTGCCAAGGAAGAATTAAAGCCTTTATACCAACCACATTGCTTTAAGAATGGTTTTGGCTGGTCTACAGCTATAGTGCATTAATACAAGAGATGGAGAATATAAAGAAAAGTATCATTATTTGTATTTGGAGATTAATTTCTGTCAGCTAATATTTAAAATTAAAACAGGCAGATGTGGAGAGACTGAAGTAAAGGATTCATTACTTGTGGTGTCTCGGAAAATACGAGATTCTCAGAAGGTTACACGGAGCTATTGTAGTATGTGGCATATCTGAATAACACTTTAGATAGTCAAAAGGTGGCACATTTCAACTGTTAAAGCAATCACTCACTGAAATTGATGGTGTTTTGGGTCTTGTTTTACTGGATTGTAACATATGAACTAAAATAGATGTGCCTAAAGCATATTGAACAGAATAAAGGAAGAAGGCTCTGTGTGCTTACAACTCTTTATTGTTGCTTTAGTGATCAGATGTACATGCAGTTTAATGTGAATTATTTATACAGTTCTATATATTATTAATTATTTTACTTTTTCCATAAGAAAATATTAGAAGAGGCAAACTATCAACAGAAGTTTAGATTTCTTTCCCAGTACTGTGTTCATAGAATAAAAAATATGAAAAATGCATGTAGGGGACTGTACAGCATAGGACACTGTAACTGCCTGTGGCATCGATAGTATAAGCAACTGTTTCGATATAACCTAAGGAGTTTATTTTAAAGCTACTCATGGTCATGGTGTTTCAGTGGTAACCTGAGGGTTAAAGTAGGGTAAAGTCTGTTGGAAGTGGAAGGTCCGTTAGACTGACTGGCATAGTTGGAAAAGCTTTGGGGCTTTTGTTGGTTCTAAAATCCAAGACAGACTGAAAAGCCACAGGAGAGAGCACTTGCTCTGAGCTTGTTGGTTGTGTGTATGTTAACCAGAACATCAGAGGAAAGTTAGTGGGTAGCTGCAGGGCAGTAAGAAGAGAGGGGGTGAGGTGTGGTTTTCATGGGGAAAGAGAGGTAGCTAGTAGCCTGGGCTGCTTGGAGAGTTTTGTTGGATGGGAAGGGGATTACAGTATGAAACTGTTGTCTTACTGAGTTTGTGATTTTTGATACCTGGTAGAATTGCACATTTGAGTTTCTAGGTTTCCCTTAAATATTGTTCTGTACCTCAAGGACCTCCACGTCTTTTGGCAGTCAGGACTCTGAGGTTAGAGACCAGGGGCAGAGCAGTAATTTTTTAAGAAATGTTCCCTGCATTATTTTGAAGGTTAAATTGAAACTGAGCTGAAGTCTCCTGGGTTGTGGCCTAGTGCTTCTTTTGTATGTCTACTCTTCCTCGTAGATGAAGATTAGGAACAGTTTAAATGTCAGTCCTAGCCAACTACAAGAAATGAATAATGTGAAGCAGTATTTTGTTCAGTTAGTGCAAAGAAAACTTAACATTTTTGTAAGGAAGCTCAACTAGCACTAAATAAAGAACATGATTCCTCTTTGCAATACAAGATGCACAAATAAGAATGGAGGAACTTCATCAACTTTCTTTTGAAATCTGTAAGCTACTCTACAGTGTGTTCAGCTTCTTCAGCTTCTAGTAGTCCAAAATAGCAAACCTTTAGAGACTCATTGAGTTCATATTGGGGTAAAATTAATAATTAGTTTTAAAATAAGTTTTCCTTATGTAGTTTATATAAAAATAAAATAAACAATTAACAGTGAATAAGCTTTTCAGTTTTAAAATTGTAAGAAACAGCCCAGAACTGGATGTAAAAATAATGTCTACACCTTTCATATCATGCCTGTCTTATTTCATGACATTCCTTTATGGTCATTATTTAGGATATAAGGAAGAAGAATTCAGCTGGCCCTCATATCTAAAGGCATGCAAGGCTCAAGCAGCTCCTAAATCTCTGTTTGAAAACCAGAACACAGTAAGTACTCATTTGTTACTGGTGGTATAGAAAGTTGTTGCTCATGTGTGTGGTAGATTTACAGCACATTTCAGTGATGGCTGACTTGAGACCTGCAAATAATTTTAACAAATAAATTTAAAAAATGTAAAAATTTAAAAATTTTTAAAATTTAAAAATTTAAATGTAAAATTTAAACAAATGCAGTAATCTTCATTTCAGTTCACCACTGCAATTATCATCCATTATTTTCTTTTATTAATCTGTTTAAATATCTGATATTCAGAAATGGTATTTTAAATGAATCTTAGTAATTGTTGTTACTACTGTGTCTCACATCATGCTGTTGTGGAACAAGCAATATTTCAGAGAGAGTGTCTGAGACAGAGTCAAAAGCAACATGTTTAATTTTAGCAGCATGCTCAGTACTTTTTTATTTCATAAACCATGAGTGTCTCTGTGTTTGAGCATCTCTCTCATGTCAACCAATTAAGCTGCTGCCACTCTGTTGGAGAAGCTAATTGGGAAACTTAGAAATGACATGAATATATTGATTGTGGACACTGGGGAGATTTCTGGATTTACAGTATTTATGTTTAATTAAATGTCTTTCTCTATGTAGACAGTGATTCCATCGGGATTTCGAGTAGGGATGAAGCTGGAAGCCGTAGACAAAAAGAACCCTACATTCATTTGTGTTGCTACGGTAACAGACATGGTGGACAATCGTTTTCTGGTTCATTTTGACAACTGGGATGAGAGTTACGACTACTGGTATGATGTTTTTGTTTTGTATCCCAGTGAGATGTATCAGAAATGTGTTAGCGTTAAGCAGTATTTTCTGTGATAGTTTCCAGACTGTGCATACAGTTACCATACCAACTTTTGCTAGATTTGTAATCACGGCCACCAGAGTGTGTCTCAGTGGTAGATCAGATGAATCAAATTTCCCTTGTCAGGTTGCACATGAAAAATTTTCAGAGATTGTACTGAGTGACTGTTTGTACGTGTGCTACATCTGGAGTTGTGGATTCATTTCTTATTTCAATTACATAGTATAGCTAAGGTTAATGTCTTTAGTGAAGAATACGCACCATGATAATGTGACTGTACTTAGAATTAAATTTATGCATAATTGTAAAATGAAAGAAAGGCTGAACCTTATGAGGGTCTTGTTCCATTATGTGGTTCAGCCTGAACCTTAGACATTACTGTAATGTATCAGGATGGTAGCAAAATCTGTTTTTTGTCTTTTGAGTTCTGTGTTCCTCTGAAAACGGGGACCCTGGTATCCTGCCATGTATTGGAAATGACATTTCTGCATGTTGTATGGTGGAGGGATTTTTCATAGTCAGTGGAAGCAGCAGGACATGTTATAACTATAGAGATCCTGAAAGAAATTCAGATTTGGCTGTCACAGCACAGGTTTTTATTTACACTTGCATGGTCTTGCGGTAGGTCATCTAGAGTAAAGTAGTGTATCTTACATTCTTTTAAGAGTAAGTTACTACAGAACAGGTAGATCATTGTAAGGCTGCGTGTTGGCTTCTGCAGTGCCAATTTAACAGTATAGCTTGTAAAAATAAATGAAGAAAGCTTTTTTTCATCTGTACTTGATGACAACTTGGGTACTGTGTCAGTGAGAATGACGTGAAACTGTTCTCTAACTTTAAAACTTTGGGAGTCTGTCTCTTGAAATAATAATTGTATGGGCTACATGACAAGCTGTAGGAGAATTAAGTTATTAAAACAGCAGCGAGCAGGTATTTCAGGGAAGTCAAGAACTGAGTAACAAGATGATAGGCCATACCACTCAAAGACTGGAAAGATTAGTGATTATCTTCATACCAAAGTAACACAGTGCATAAATTTCCTTTACAAAGTAGCAGGAGACTGGGGAGTGGTAATAGGTGTTCTGAATTTGCAGATATGTCAGTGCTCATGAATAACAGTTATGCCATTAATCAGTAATGAAAACAGCATTTGGGCAAGGCTTTTAAGGCAAATGAGCTCAATGAAATATAATCAAATATAACACAGTTTGTTCAGAGGTAGCATAGGTATTTATAAAGCATTGCAGACATACACTGAATTTCAGGCACAGCAATATTCTCAAGTCAGCAGGCCTCCTTCTTTGTGTTGTTGTAATTGAGAACAGAAGTCAATAGAAGAGGAAGGAAAGAAAATATTATTAAAGAATAGTGAATGAAAATAACAGTAGAACATCTGACCAAATAAGAACCTGTAAATGTATCCTGAATGCATCCCTGTTATATTTTGAATCTTAGATACCAGGTTTGTAGAGGCCTTAAAATATCTTGGGTGCGTAAATTTCACATCTACCAATTAGTGTCTCTAACTAAAAACGGAAGGTCATGTTGGGATTACCCAGAGTGGAGGGCCTCACAATCTTCCTGCACCTGCACGTAATTTCTATCTCAGAATTATAACGACTTCAGTAATGAAAAATTATATATGTCATGTAGTTGAGGATTTTCAAACAAGTACCTTTCTTTTCTGGATTATTTTCAAACAAGCTCCTTTCTTTCCTATATTCTTTCTGTGGGTTAGTTTGGGTAAACTGAACTTTTTCATTAACTATATGAATTCTTTCCTTTTCTCGAATAAGTGAAAAAACTTAGTTGCTTAAGTTTACTGGATTTCAGGAAACAGAAATATATTACCATGGCCTACATTTTTTAGACTTGAGGCTTTCAGCCTGAAGATAGTTTGCCTGAATTTTCACTGAACATTAGAAAACATGTTAATGTTTGAAAATAAGCATGCTAGCTAGAACTAGCCATTGCTACAGCTCTTTAATATATTGTGGTGATACTTCCAGTGTGTTATAAATTCCATTAAATTATCCTTTGACAGTGGATTTTAGAGGGAAGAAAAGTGAACAAAATGGACAGATTTAAGCCTTACATTCAGGAAGGAGAACTTGTTTCTGTCTGTATTCCACAAGTCTTCTGGTTCTTTCCATCCGTGCTATCTTTTTTTGACGAAACAAATAATGCTTCTTTGACAGCCAGATACTTTTACTCCAAGTGGAGTTTCCAAATGCTCTTACCTTGCATATCTCTATGAACTAACTGTAGGTCTCTGCTGGCTTTCAGTCCTCCATTCTCTTACATCTCCTCCATTTACATGCAGATATTAAGCCTAAATTTCCTAATACTTTGGTGACAAAACCTGAAGCAGTCACAGCTTTAGCAAGAGGAGAAGCTGTACTAGCTTGTTGGGGCCGGCCCTCAGGAGGGATTGAGCAGTGGCCGTGCTGCACATGCTGCAGCCCACACTTGCAGGGTCAAAGGGCTTTGGCTGCCCTAATACACTGTCTGGTCTGAGCATCCCCTGCAGAAGAGGTGCTTTGGGTCAGCTTTTGGGATCAGTTTACCAGGCGTGTGGGAAAATATGGCATCCTGTGCTTCACTCACTGTTGTCTTCCAACAGTCTTCCTCTCAGGAAGTTTTGTATCACTTTTATCTGAATCATTGTCTTATCTGGGTGAGTTTTGGAACAGGCTGGATTTTTGGTACAAGACTAAATACGAGGCCAGTTCAGCTCTCCACCACCATTTGCTGCTTTGCTAATAATAGTCCTTAAAAGTTGTGCTCTGCTTGTTTCTTTTTTGAGATAATTAACTTTGCCGCACTCTTCCTTTGAAAGGATTGGTCTTTTTGATGGGGTTATAATAAACCAAAAAGAAGATAAAACAACCTGAAAGAGTTGTGAGTTATACTACATGCTTTTAACTATTTAAATGGATAACGTGTGATTCTAGAGTATGTAATGTAAAAACATAAAATTTCTTGCAATCACCATGCAGTTGTTTTATCATCAGATTTTCAATGGATAATATGATAATGTAGTTTACTAGACCACCTCTGTATGTATGCAACAACCTCATGGTTCACATTTTGGGAAGTCCTGACCTAAAATGATACTTGCTTTCTACTTGTTATTGATGAAGTATTCTCACTTATGCACTAGATGGGGCTGCAGGATGATTTCTGCATTTTTCTTTTTTCTTTCTTTTTTTTTTTTTTTTTTTCTACATAGTTAGATGGACTGAAATCTCACAGTCAAGAAGCTGTATAAGTAATGTTCCTGAGGGCATAATATTATTTATGGGTGTAATGCATGTATGTATCAATGTTATTTGGTAGATAACATTTTCATTACAGATTCTATCTATGTTTAATAAAGTCAAAATCAAAATACCAAAAGATTTCTTTCACCAAAAGGGAAAATCAGAAATTATTTCAAAACAGAAAATGGGTATAACACATACAGCTTGTTTTAAAGAAAATGCTGAGTACTAACTAAGAATCCTATTCAAATCTTCAGGTGGAGACCCATGTGGGAAAACATTTTCCTAAAAGTATTGAATATTCTTCTTTTTAACAGTCAGTATTATCATCTGTCTCTCTTGGTCTGTATTTAATGAGCTGTATATATGAAACAGATTTCTGGAGAAAAGTAACAGGACAGCTGAAAGTGCGCAATAGAGAAATACTAATTCTTCCACAGCTGAGTCTATCATTCAGAGGTGCTCTCCTGCTGTGAGTTAGGGATTGTACCACTGCAGACACATTCCTTTTGTGTAGAGGGCTGAACACGCCAGGGGCTCACAGTCAAACTGCCCTCAGCTGTTTTATTGTGGGAAGCTGTGAACAGCAGAGCTTCTTCCTGCCTTTTTACATCGTGTAGCTCTTTTCTGTGTTGACCTCTTTTGTAGGATGCAGTTAGGCCGTCCATAACCTAGCCGAGTTGCTGCCTGTTCTGTGTGAACCCTCTGTGGTTCACCTGGCTCTCTGCTGCTTTTGGCTCCTCTTCAGTTGCCTAGATTATTTTCATTTCCAATATAGATAATAGATGTCTTCCATCTGCATGCTCCCACAAGACAGAAGGAATTGGTTGTTCGTGATATAAATTGTGTGAACTTTATAATCTTGCTCTGTGAATTGAATGTGCCCATGTCACAGCTCCGTCTAGGCATAGGTGGCTGCAAAGGTGCAAAGTTCTGCAGCTCCTGCCAGTGGTGGCAGCCTTCTGGGCCTAGCGGGCACAGTCAGAATTCAGGGATCATCATGTTTTATGAAGCGTGTGAGCTGGGTGTTCTGTGATCTGTTTTGTAGTAAAGGAGCTAAAAATCTGTGGGACGCTGAAAATTGATTGTGAAAAGTCAGAATAGCCTTGGGCGTTCCAGCTGACAAGTCATGGGCTTAGGCTGACAGACTGTAGCTGCTCTTCCAAACTAGATACATATGTCCATGAAATAACACACATTAAAGCATGATAGCTTTGCTTTAAATTGTGTGTGATTTTTACTGATCTCTAGTTTGTATTGTTAAATGGACTGTTAGAAGCTGTGTGAAATCAGTATGCAAAGATGGGCTGTATGAACTGTTTTTGCTGGAACAGTGCCACTGTTTTTTTGTTTTGTTTTGTTTTTGTTTTTTTGTGAGGCCACCACGGTTACAGAAGCTTCTTATAGGCTCATCTGTAATGACCATGTTTTCTGGTAAAGCAAATCAAAATGTTACAGATATTTTATAATGCTATTTTGCTGTCTGGCATTCATTGCTACAAGTTCTGTGTTCACTCTTATTGCTGCACTGTCAGAGCATCTTCCCGTAGTGCATTGTGACAGACCTTCTTCTTCAGTCTTCAAGGCAAGAAGTGTGTGAAGTGGTGTTTGCTATGCAGAATTTTGTAAATGTGTGTTCAAACTGTATGCTTGAAAAAGCAAAACAGAAGAAATGCATTCAGGAAGTCCTGACAAGTGTTTTTACACATTTAATCCATTGCTGTAAGCAAATGCTGGTAATACCATAGTGGCTTGTGAGCTTGGGTCTTGATCCCAAATTTAACTCTGGAGACTTTGAAAGTAATTTGTGGACTTTACTCCAAAACATTGCATAAAGTAATATAGGCACACTCTTCCAGTGTGGAAGGATGCTCTGTCTGGGTAAATGCTTCCATGAAATACTCTCATTTTGAGAAAGATAGAATAGAGAAATGCTGTCCCCCTTGCTCTTTGGCCTCTCTTCACAGTTACTGTAAAGAGAAGGGAAGAAGAAAGAGGGAGCATGAAGCATTCACTTTTTTTCTGGTTTGTTCAGGGCAAAGCATTTCTAGAAGTCAGAGTGAGTGCTGAGTTTCAACAATGCAAAATAATCATAAAAGTCCTTTTCATTCCTTTTATTAATGGTACTTTCTGTTATTTAGAAAGTATTTGGTGCAACACTATAAATACTATATACATACAGTATAGCTTTGTATATTGTAGTAGGACAAAAGACTGGTATCTTGATGTGAGTTGAATCCTTGGTTATTGTCAGAGCCATCACAGAGTCTATCAAAGGAAGGTTTTATCTGCTGGAAGGTGATTCGTTTGGTGTTATTACAAAGAAATATGAGCACAACAGTTTCAAACATAAAGCCACAAGATAGCTGGAGTAGGTTGGCTAATATTTTTCAGCATTGGTATACTCCTTTTAGGTACAAGGCTAGAAGAGTGCTTTCTGTGAGACCGGTTTTGAGACACCCAGATTCCATTTCTGTTGTTGAAACATATCTGTACTGAATTTTAGACATTGTTGTGTAAAATTGCTTTTCAGATTTTTATTTAAAAGTTTAACATTTTATGTATTCTAAATATGTCATGCTTCTTCATTTTTCTTTTATGCAGCACAGGCTCAAAATTACAACGTGATAATTGGCCAGGGTTCCTTCTGCAGTCTTTTCTGTGCTGCTTCCTTCTGCAGTCCTTACAACATAATTGTGTTCAAGGTCTGCAAAACTACCATTTTGACCTATGCGTAAAGATATTAGGGTTCTTGCTAATTTACATTCATCATCGTTTTGTTTTATACACAGTTCTTTGTACTCTCTTAGATGTTAGAGATTATTAATATGCAGTGTTTTTAAAAATATTAATCAGCTATTAGCTAATTAGCTCCCCGCTAAAGAAGGGAGAGAACAGTGTATGAACTTCCAACCAATACTTTCAAGGTAGATACAGATAGTGATGCAGTTACAACAGTTAGTGAGAACAGAACCATTGTTTGTGTATTTTGCATTAGTAACTCCTAGGCTGGAGGGAAAAGGCAAGAATATCTGTTAATCTCCAGCCTAGTGGTTGAAACAGTGACTTCAGAGAGAGATTAAATAGAAACTGAATCACAATGACTGTTACAATATTTTATGCAAAGATCATCGTATATACTAAGTAGATGCCTTCATGCTCTCTGCATGGCTTCTCATCTCAGCAAATATTTGCTTTGCAAAGTACTTGGTACGCAACATTCCTTCAGTAGGAGGGAGAGACAGTGTTTCTATTTAGAAAATAGACTGCTTTAGACTGCTTAAGCCCAGTCTAAAACCTGTTTCTTGAGCCCACCTTTGGGGAATGAGGAATGAAATCCTTAACTACTTTAACTTCCATAGACAAGCATGCAGGGTGGTGCAGCTACCTCTCCATTTGGGTGTGTTGTGTGCAATGGCCATCATGATATGTTGTATGGCACCTTGATCTCCTGGGCAGGTCACAGCATCACTGCTCAGAACAAGGTTTGTTGGCCCTAGAGTGAGTTGAGACTCAGGGCTTGCAGTCACTGTGAGATGGAAATGCTTCCAGGATTCCCTAAAAGAGGATAGGCACGTTTCTAGTAGTATATAGCGTCAGATACAGAAGCTGACCTTTAGGGTTAGGCAATAGTGGAAGTTACACTTACGTAGTGGCTACAGTGTTCTGTAATATTGGATATTACAGTAGTCTTCCTCACTTTGTTTGCTGCTTGAACCCATTTCTTGAGCATACTTAGAGCATCTCATTTATTATTCCAATTTAACCATGCATACTAAGCTAAGTCTTTTACACATCCAAAGACACGTGCATACCATGAGTTCCTCATCTATTCTTTATAGCACATTCTCCAGGCCTACATTTTCTTGCCCCTCTCCCCCATCCTGGGATACAATCCTGGATGGTCTTACAGATAAGGCTGACTAATTAGTGAGTAACATAGCATCAGACTTATTAAGTTTCTAGTCTTCTTTCTATCTAACTAAACAACGTAAAATATTGCAAATTTGGTTCTATTATTCTATCAGGGAGAGAGCCATATGTCCTTCTGACTCGGTATCACCAGCACATGTCAGCTGTACTTAGCTCTGCCTGTCTTCTGTGGTTCTTGTGTCGCACCATAGGCAATGGCACTTATGCAAAATTTGATGTATATAATAGAAAATACAGGGATTTGTTAGTCTCTTGAGTGAAAGAATTTGATCAGCCTTCTTAGGACAATTTACAGTCTTGGTTCACTGATTAGTCCTGGATTCTTTCAGGCAGTTTGAGGTCTAAAATGGTATTTTATTCTGTTTTGCTGACAGTTTCTCTCAGACTTCTACTTTTCTTTTGTACTGCTGGGTTATAGTAACATGTTCATAGCTCCATTTAAACCACTTAAAATCTCATATTGAATTTTTGCTTGTTATTGACTGTCTATTGCAGTTGTGCATGATTTTCGAATCTGCTTCCAAGTGCAGTCACATCATTAATCAAGGTCTTTAAACTTCTGGTTTAAAGTTTGGGTCTTGGCATTGCAAAACCCCACCTATCTGATAGTTTAGTGTGTTCTGCTAACCAAGCAGCATGTTTCTACCAAGAGTCTGAATTTTTCACGTCTAGCATCATAGCTTCCCAATAGAGGTCTACTGCTGACTTACTTAGACTTGTTTTATTGATCTTTCAGTGAAATTTTAAATAGAGCCTTATGCTTGTTTAGGTGGTAACAAAGTCAGTGTTAAATGTGTTCATGTCTTCACTGTTTGCAGTTTAAGTTGAATATATCATAAGTTATTTAGAATTTTTTAATCCTTTTTAGTATATATTGTTTTATAAGCATAATAGGATGTCTGAAGAACTGTGTTATTTTTTCTCCCCCAGGTGTGAGGCAGCTAGCCCCCATATTCATCCTGTTGGATGGTGTAAAGAGCATAAAAGAACTCTCATCACCCCACCAGGTTTGTATCATACTACACATCTGAAGGATTTAAGCCACCTAGGAGAATTATGTCTTGCAATAAGCTTATTGCTACCTCTCCTGATTTTTTCTTTCTGTAATTAAGAATTGGCATTGCTAATTTAGTTTTTACTGGACATAATTTACTCAGAACAGAGGTACAATAGACTTTTGTTATTAAGTATGCACATGTGTGTTGCTTTAATAGAGAAATCTATCCAAAAAAAAGATACTAATGAAATCTGAACTTTGTATGTTTGGCTGAATGTATTCACTTATTGTAAGGCTTACATTGTGAGAATTCTAGGTGTGTGAGATTGTTGTGTATGAAAAACAACTTACTGTGAACTAAATATGTATGATAATGCATGGATGAGAAGATTGCCTTGTCTGATCAAGGAGTCAAACTTTTAAGCGGTCTTTGGAAGAGATGAAAAGAGTGAGAGAGTTCTGAGGAATGAAAGTATACTAATTGCTACTAAATACAATAAAACTCCTGTTTTTCAGGGCTGTTGCATGTAGCTGATTTAACTAAATGCTCTCCCTGCTATGGGAAAATGAAAATGGTTATGTGGGAAGTAGTACAGACCACAGCTTTATAAAAGTACCTGCTATCCAATTTATATCTCTTTGGCCTTTGGTGCCTGTACATCTTTAAACGACTTTTAAAAAGCAATATTACCAGCTGATAGGCTAGTACCTGGAACCTGGCAATGTAATACAGCATCTGTCCCACCTGACAGTGGTTAGGCTAGCTGTCATAGCACTGCTGTAGCAATTGTGTGTCTGTCAAATCAGAGCATTTGTATGCTGAAGCTTACACCATTTTGTCCCCAAACAGCTTGATAAGATTTAATTAAGGTTTAAGAAGATGTAGGCCAACACTCATACCAAAAATTTTGTTTGCTTTGTGTTTTTTTTCTAAATTAATTTTTAGCTAGATCTGTTTCCCAGCTGAATCACTCTGATCACTCAAATACAACTTCTATCACAGTGAGCTGGAAGGACTGGTTTGGACATAGAACCGTTTCTCTTAGAAATGGTGACTTACGATGGCTTGGATACTTCTGAAATTATAAATAGTTGTTTTATTTATTCTCTTGATATTTTTCTTATCTAATTGTAGTAGGTTAGTTAGAAAAAATAGTTTTGTTGAAATAAAAAAAAAGCATTGACTTTATGAAAGACGGGCAAGCTGAAGTTCATATTCAAAGTCTTCAGTATTTTCATGCTGCTGATATCAACAAAGAATTTCAGAGAACAATTCATCTTTCAACTCTGTAAGAAGCCTTTTTATTCCGCAAAATGGAAGCTGGTCAACTGTACAGTTGGGCCAAGTAGTTCAACAGCTTGCTGATGAAGTTGAAGACTTGGAAGAAAGCTGTACATTATGGATCTGTAGCAGAAACTGCCATCCATGGTCTGACAACATGGAAAATTTTAATTGGTTAAAATAAGTTTTGAGAGAAATTCTAATTCTCAGCAATCTTAGAAAGTCATAAGTAGTCTGTCTGTCAGAAAGCTAATTACAGCCTATTATTCAGCAAAATCCCTTTTAAAACAAATGAGAATTGTTTTTGTTCTGTTCCAGGTGATAAATCTGAATGTTTAAACTTCACATTAAACCTCTAGTGCAGATTAAAAGTGAAGGACAGGCACTGCCTGTTCTGTGAAAGGAAAGCTGTCTGTGTGTCACTTGCATAAAGTGTTTGTAAACATGACATTTTCTGAGAAGGGCAACATTTTCTTTGATGCCTATAAATATGTTATTATAGTAAATGTCCCAGCTATTTTAGAAATTTGGTTAAAACAAAATTGCTAAAAGCATAGCAACTAGTCAGATGTGCTCTAATGTGTGTACAAAGCCATCACTGACTAGATTGTGTTTGCCAGTAAATTATTATTTGTAAAATACAGGATTAGGATTATAATACTTGAATAAGTTTCTTGAATAACGTGGCCAGATTTTATCAGTCCATGTTACTTATATTCTCAAATCCAAAGCAATTGTGATTGTTCTTTCTGCTAGCTATTCAGTATTGTATAGGAGAAGATGGTGTTTGTTTTTTTGTTTTTTTTTTTTAATGTACATGGTGTATGCGTCAGAGACAGTTTAGAATAGCCTTTCTTATTTTATGACTCTGAAGCATAAGTCAAAACAGTATTTTAAAGGTAAGTGTTAGGCATTCTGTACATTATGCATTATTTTTTACGAGGCAATGTTTTATTTTGCTAATATTTCTTTTGTGCCAGACTATCCACATGCAAAGCATTTTTCTTGGGAGAAGTATTTGGAAGAAACCAGTTCATTACCTGCACCTGCAAGGGCTTTTAAAGTGGTGAGAAAATATTTAAATTTTTCTCATGCTTTTAAGTGCATATGGTTAAAGAAGAGAATACATATATGATGTTTTTATGTTAATTAGTTGCATTATAGGAGGTTTATTTCTATGCAAGCTCACTGACATCAGATAATTATTATTAATAATTACTATTAGTTTATTATTTTAATTGTTATAAATGGAATTAAATGCTACAAAATACTACTAATTCAACTGTAATTTGCAATGGGAAATTACTGTCTAGCTATTAGAAATAATGAGTTAGCTACTGAGTCATCATATTGTATCTTGAACATGCGTATTTCTATCCCTACATTTTAAGTGGTGTAATACAGTGAGAACATAACACTGACTGTAGGAGGTCAGGCTGGTTGGCCATCTAGTCCATTCTCTGCCACAGTAGCCACAGGGCAGTTTATTATGTTTATTAGACTTCTGTGAGCTTGTGAATGGGGCATGTGGTCAGCATCCAGATACATCTCCCAAGCTTAACTATGTTGTTTTTTTTGTGAAGTCTGTTCTTTTACTTTAGGTTAGTATTTGCTAGCTTCTTTTAGTGACACCTATCTTCCCTGTCAGTAGTGAGCTTAGGATTTTCAGTGAGGATGCAGAAGGAATCACTGATAGAAGCCAGCATCAGATAGTTGGTAGCCCCTAGCCCCTTGCTTCAGAGCACTCTGAAGTTCATTTCCCTGAGCTTTTTTTTCAGATTAGACGCAAATTCTGAATAAAACTTCACTAAGGGCTGAAGTAGCAAGAGCAGGAAAAATGGTGCTTATGTGCAGTTTGTCCCTGCACATCCTTTCTTCTTATTAATATGTCTCAATACTACATTCTCAGCAAGAATTAAGGAGATATTTGATTATATCTGAGAGGAATAGTCCTTGGCAAAACAATGGAGGGCTGTGACCTTGAGTATGTCAAGCAAAAAGCAAATCTGTTAATTTTCTCTCCAAGCACCCATATTGCAACTTCTCCCTTTGCCATGCAAGGAATTGCCACCCCACAGGGCTCAGGGTTGGGAATGCCTCACTAACTGGCCCAAAGATTCCTCCATGCAGAAGGATCCAGCTGGTTGTGTCTGCACTGGGAAACTAAGCAGGGACATGACACAGGCGTGCAGGGATTGGTAGCATTTAATTGGGAGAGTGTGGCTCAAAACTGATCCAGAAACTGTACTAACAGACTGTGACTGGGTATGGTTTTGATTAGCATGGTTCCAGGACCAGCCACACAAAATAGTTCAGATGAGGGTATCCATCTCCATTTGAGGATGGAGAGGAAGGAGATCTTGACTGCATGGGCATCAGCTGTACTCTGCCTTTTGGTTTCAGAGCCAGAGGAAATCTATTCCCTGCTTTCTGTACTAAAATAAATACTAATTGTGATAACCGTAAGAAAGCAGATTTAATGGGAATAGAATGGTAATTGCCATTGGAATTTGGGTGAAGTGTTCCCAAGACGGTCACCGTATTTTGTACTGTATTATGGGTGAAAACAGTTCCTGTGCTGCAGCTGAGAAAAAAGCTTAAATGTTCTGGAATGTCATGATAGAAAGTCTTAGAGGGTCAGAGATGTTATTTTCCTGGGAATCTAAAACAAAAAGCTTAACATGTCTTGTGTATACGTTCCTTTAAAATTTTGCTTTAGATTTCATAGCTGTATATAAGAAAGATAAAATGTGATGCTCCTAGCATAGCCAACTATTTTGCCAAAATAGCATTATGAAATGGGTATTTGGTCCTGTTTGTTCTGAGTGAATGCTTACTGTCATACTATGGGTTACTTATGTTTTCACTAGGTGACTGAAAAAGGGCGTATGATCCATGACAAGAAAACACATGCTAAAAAGACAAATATGTTTCCTGTAGACAATTACATAGAAATTTCAGTCTGCTGTTAGGTAATGTTTCATGCAATACTGCACTGAAACTGATTGCAAAAGACCAAAATCTCCAGAATAATTTTTCTGGAGAGTTTAGGGAAAAAAAAAAAAAAAAAAAAAAAAAAATGTTTAAATTAAAGGACCCTACTTGCTTGCATGGAAGGTTTGAATGGAAAACCTGGAATCCTGAAGTAGTTTTTTGCTTCTCTAGTTCAATAAAATTGGCTTGTATTATCGTTTCGTATTTGTATTTGTTGGAGGAGAAGGACAGATTTGAGGAAGTGAAGGCAGGAAGTTTTCTATGAATTTTACATACTGTACCATTGTGAGGGTGTTAAGTTTTTTCTTCTGTTTCACATAACTCTTTTTTTTTTTTTCTAGAAACCTTCTCATGGCTTTCAGAAAAATATGAAACTTGAAGTGGTTGACAAGAGAAATCCGGTATTTATCAGAGTAGCAACTATTGTAGATACTGATGACTATAGAATAAAAGTAAGTTTCTCTGTCTTAATATATCATCTCGCTTGAGTTTCTGATGAGTACCTAAAAAAAACCAAAATCCTATAGTTGTAAAATTAAGCAAAAGAGTGATTTAGTTGCGTCCTTCTAAGCTTTTACTCATTGTTTTCACTGATTAATATGCATATAAATCCTTTGGAGGAGATTATTCTGTTATCCTCTAAGTTGCATGTGCTGACATAGGTAATAAAAGAGAAGAAACTAATATGTTGGGAAATTGTTTTGGGAATAGTTGATATAAAATAGTTGTCTACTTTATTGAGAGAAATTATGATTTAATAATCAAACGTTGAAGGGCTGCTATGATATTTGTATTAGGACTGGTAAAATATTTGGCCTGGTTTAACTGAATCTGTCTCTGTAAAATTCCAGAGAGAGATATAATTCCAGTGAGATATAAAAAATGAACCCTGATCTCTTGTGCCTTGTCAGTAACTTCTGCAATTCTGAAGTTTATAGTAATTATGGACTTTAGATTGGATTAATTTCAGATAATGTATTTTTAAGAAACTACAATTATTTTTTGTTTTATTGTACAAAAGCAGTTTACTCAGTGAAGTCCTTGACTGTTAGGACTGGCATATGCCAGATATCCAGTTAGATGGAGATGAAGGATATTTGTGTTTGCAGTTGCTAGAGGTTTATTAGGCATATCTGTATTTCAAGCGGGAAATGCAGCTGACATTCCATTTTGAACCTAAATTAGTCAGTGGTAGGGAGTTATCAGAAGTCACTTTCTATCTAAGCATTAAGATGCTTAAGATTAAAAAAAAAAAAAAATGGGGGGGGGAACCCTCTCAAGTCTAGTTTATTAATATGATAGGATTTGTAGCTTCTTAAGTGTTGTGTGTTGTTTTTTTTTTTAATTGTCCCTAGAGCATATATTGAAGGAGTTCTGTTTGAGAATGAGTGTGTGTACATGCATGCCAAATTTTTTAGGAGTACAGAGGTTAAGAGCTGAATACATTTAGCTTCTGTCTGAAAAAGATATATACCACGTACTGGTGATTTTCTGGGATGTCACACACTTTGTTTTCTCTTCAGCTTCAACCCCTTATCTTGTATGGTCTGATTTTAATAAGATTGTTGTTTGTGTGCTATTTATTTACTTACTTATTTTTAAGATGGTTAAATGTCATTGAGAGGAAAAAAGGCAGCATTTCATGCTTAATTTAAGTATTAATGTGAGAACTAAACTTGTCTTGCTTTACTCTAAGGATTTGAGCCTGATGATGTAAGCCTGATGATGTATTTGGTAAATAACCAAATGACACCTCTCTCCTTACTTCACTGAAAGTGTATCTGAGTCCATAATTTAATATCTATGTATCTTCTCTGTAACACCCATAATTTTCTTAAATTAACTTGTCTAACAGAGTTAGCATTTCTAGAGATTACTCAGGGGAACTGATTGTATAGAGAATCTTTCTCATCTAAACTGCATTGTTCTCTTTTTTAATTTTAGGTCCATTTTGATGGCTGGGATAGTATTTATGATTATTGGACTGATGTAGATAGCCCTGATATCCATCCTGCAGGCTGGTGTACAAAAACAGGACACCCTCTTCAGCCCCCACTTAGTAAGAGAAATCCTATTATAATGTAGAGACGTTAAAAGGCCTGTGTACCATGCTAATGTTTTTTCTGCCAGTGTTGTCCAAGGAAGAGTAACAACTAGGATATGCAAAGTAATGTAAATGTGACATTTAGTGCAAAATCAACATAATTTGAAATGTCACTAATTAATCAATGTTTCATAGATAGTTTTACTGGCCCTTACTATAATCGAAATACGTTTGCCTGTTTGTATAAGAACTAGAGTCAAAACCTGAAGCATTAATAAAGATCTGTTGTGTGAAATCCAGACCCTCTTGAAACCAGTGATGAGAATGCTGTGGCACTTCAGTAGGGCCAGGGGATTACTCTTAAAATCTTCTGTCTACGTCCTCTTGACACTTAGCGTGCTTTTTAGCACAGAGGAATCCGGACTGCTCTGAGAAGGTGCTCCTTTCAAGTTCTGTGTCAAATCCTCAAAACCAGCTCCTGCTCCTTTTCGTCTTCAGCAAAGCAAAGAGACAAAATGCTGTCCATGTTGAAGATGAATCAAACAGAAGCATAGTACTGTCTTCATCAGCTTGCCCTCTCCGTGGATTTTGTTTTGCTTGTTGAAGAAATTGGAGGTCTGTCATAAATGAGATTAGAGGTTACAGGGAGAAGACACTTTGGTGGTAAAGATAATCCAGCCTATGCCACTGTGTTTCTAGATAGAGTTAGTGAAAACACTTTAGACAAACTTTTGAGCAGATGATTTTTAACCAAGTGCTCTTTTCTGGGCTTACATTATAGGTACTTGACTTGTGACTCTGAGGTATGGTTTGCATAAGTGCTGAGTGTTAACAGCTGTAACTGAGATAGGAAAGAGCTGTGCTTGGAAAATAAGAAATGCTGAACAACACTAAGTACTTTGAAAAGTTGAATGCAAAATAACAGGAATAAGGCACACACAAAAAGTGTGAATGTATTACCTGAAAATCTCTGTACCTCAGTTCAGCATTTCTAAAATGTCAAGAAGAAATGTTTCCTATCAAGAGTGAGATCAGAGTATATTCATTAGTTTTCTGAGCACTCCAGTGGTGCAGTGATGACTGCCTGTTAGGAAGTTAATCATTCTGCCTTCAAAGCAGAGTCTGAATAGAGTGCCGTAAGTGCCAAAACACAAAGTGAATAATGAGGAGAAAATAGGATGCTGCATCTCTGCTTCTTAAATTGGGATGTGCATCCTGTATACTCAATGAAGGAAGAGTCCAGAGGGAAAAAGTAGTATGTGGCCTCATAAATGAAAGTTCTATCATACTGCAAAAAAAAATGAATAAGATTGTGACATTTCTATTACCTGTGATTGGAGAAAAATTGTTTTAACCTGGGTGGGAGTGTAAAACACATAACTTCATATTGTTGGAGGTGTTAAAAGAAACAAAACTGCAGATGTCCTTCACATAGAATATGTTATTTCCTCTAGGTGGTCACATAGGAGCCACTGTTCATTTCTTCTAGTATGCAATTATAGGAAGTGATATTTTGATATTAGGTTAGTAAGAGAAAGGAAGATGAACACTATGACAGAAGGGGAAGTAACCATTCTTTACATAGAAAAAGAGTAGTTCACTGCAGGAACACTATTAAAATTGGGTGATTACTGAATAATACATTCTTCCAAATTAGGCTTGGATGATTACTGTATTCTTTCAACAGTATGACTTTGTATTACTACTGTACGATATAGTATAGAATGTAGAATAGCATAAGAATATTAATATTGTTTCCAAGGAAATTTTGTTTCTAGCACATGCCTTCTAATTACATTATTTTTATGCTTCAATGACTCTTTACCAAAAAATTCAGCTTTTTTTTTTTTTTTTTCAAAATTGAAGAGAAGCTGAGCTTATTATTTAAGGGTTCACACAAGTGTAGATATTCAACAGAACAGAGGAAAGTACTTTATATTTAGACGTTTTGATTTTGTTCCAGTAAGCTTTTCTGTATTTTGGGACATGTTTTTTCTATGTTGTGCATAGAATAAGTGCATAGCATTATCATTGGATACAAGCAAATAGGAAAATTAATATAATACTGATTCTTTAAGAAAAAGGAAAAAAAAAAAAAGCTTTTTTTCCCTGCTTTAACCTAAATTTTATCTTGCCTGATTTTGAGTACTTCTGAATTATATGAAGAACTTTTTTGTCTTGCTATGAAAATTGTATGAAGGAATATTTTGGTGGTCAAGTTACTGGATCAGTTTTCTTGAAGATCTGGAGACAATTTGGCTTGAAAAGCCAAGTTCTAAAGAAGTTCCTTGTAGAAGCTCAGATTCTTTGCATCTGGATGTGCAAATAGGAATGGAGAAGTTACTGTAATATTTTTTGAACACTCAGCAGATGCACTTTCCAGTTCTACAATAAGTGATAAGATGAATTTTCAAATACGTATACCGTTTTTTTCTTTTTCTTTTTTTTTTTTTTTTTTGTCCAATTTCACTTATTTCTACAGGATCCCAACTGATCCAGTTATCAGTCTGTCTGCCAGTAAACAAGCAACACATAAATGTGATACCACATTATGTCTCATTATTGACAAGACTGCATCTCTTCAAGCTACATGTGGTAGCTTGGTTGACTGAACCTACCTGTTCTTCTAGAATTTTCCTGTTTATCTACTTTGTTTCTGGCTGGAACTGTCTTACCTTACTTAGTCATTCTTTGTAAGGAGGCTACTTCATATCTGGGTTGAGAGAAGGTCAACATAGACAAAAAGATTGTCAGTTTTGCTATACTGAAATACCAGGTAGATGTGCAGGAAATATTTAAGAAAGCAATAGATAAAGTAGAATAGTAACATCCTGTATTGTTCTGTAGTCAGTCACAATGTAAATCCTTTCTTTTTATTTGCCTCCTTAACTGTTACTGGTCACTGAGTCAATGCTTTCAAGGAACTGTATGTCACAACCCAAGGGTCTTGAATTACCATGTACTTATTGACCCCTTCAGAGAACTGTAACGGGACTGTGAGGCAAGACTGTCCTTCACAACAGCCACTATAGCAGGTTAACTCTTCCTCTGAGTCCACTAACTTGGTATGATATAGGCATCAATTTTGAATAAATGTAAAAAAGATAAAATTCTATTACACCCTTTTAAAGCCTATAGAAGTCTTGGGTCTTGGGTGTAGTTACAGTGTTGTAACATTAGCATAGGTGGCATTTGTTAAAAATACTTCTGGACGTGTTTTGAATGTTCATAAGTCTATGGGACCAGACAGAATTCATCCAAGGATACTGAAGGAGCTGGCAAAGTGTTTAACAAGCCATTTTTGATAATTTACCGGTAGTTCTGGCTAACTGGAAAGTTGTCTGGAGGTTAGTGAATACACAGTATACAAGAAGGACAGGAAGGAGGATTCAGGCAATTACAGGCCTGTCAGCTTGACCTTGGACACAAGGAAAGTTATAAAGCAGATCATCCTGAGTGCCATCACATGGCACATATGGAACAATCAAGCGATCAGAAGCAGCCAGCATGGATTCATGAAGGGCAGGTCCTGCCTTACTAACCTGGTCTGCTGTGACAAGATGACCTGCTTAGTAGGTGAGGGAAGGGTTTAGTAGATGCTGTTTACCTGTACTTTAGTAAAGCATTTGACACCATCTCTCACAGTATTCTCCTGCAGAAACTGTCTGCTCAACATTCGGACAGGTGTTCAGGTCACTGGGTGAAGAACTGGCAGAATAGCCAAGCTCAAAGAGTCATAGTGAATGGAGTTCAAGTCACTTGGAGGCTGGACACCAGTGATGTTCCCCAGGGCTCAGTATTGGGGCCAATTTTATTTAACATTTTTATTGGTGATTTGGATGAGGGGATTGAGTCCACCCTCAGTAAGTTTGTAGACAACACCAAGTTAGGTGGGACTGTGGATCTGGTTGAGAGTAGGTGCTCTGCAGAGGGATCTGGATAGGCTGGATCAATGGGCTGAATCCAGTTACACGACATTCAACAAGCTTAAGTGCTGGATCCTGACTGTGGGTCATAACAGTTCCATGCAGTGGTATAGGCCTGGGGAAGAGTAGCTGGGAAGTTGCCCAGAAGAAAACGATCTGGGGATGCTGGTCGACAAACAGCTAAACACAAGCCAACAGTGTGCCTGGATGGCTGAGAAGATCAATCCCATACTGGCCTGCATTAGAAATAGCATGGCCCTCAGTACTAGGGAAGTGATGGTCCCTCTGTACTCAGTAGTGGTGAGACTGCATCCCAACCTTATCTACAGGGAGGTGTCCGTGCCGACAGCAGGGAGATTGGAATTAAATGGTCTTTAAGGTCCCTTCCAATTCAGACCATTCTGTGATTTCATGAGTACTGTGTTCAGTTTTGGGCCCCTCTCTACAAGAAGGATGTCGAGTTGCTCAAGTGTGTGCAGAGACAAATGAAGCTGATGAAGGGACTAGAAAACAAGAGGAATGGCTGAAGAAATTGGGGTTGTTTGGCATGGAAGAGAGGAGTCTGAGAGGAGACCTCATTGCTTTCTATAACTACCTGGAAGTGAGGAGGGTGTTGGTCTCTTTTCCCAAGTGACAAGTGATGGTATTTTTAGTATTTTCAGCCTCTTGCTTACTGGAAAATTCAAGCTAAAAATGGAGGTCAGTACTCATTATGAACAGTTCCCTGTCTTCAAGAACAATAGAGTGTCTGTGCTCTTGCAAAACAACCTGGTTCCAGTTTCATGTAATTAATAGAAGATAAATTTGAGTCTTACAGTTCCTTTAAGAATTACATTCTTTATACAGATACGGCTCTCCTGTAGAAACTTACTCGGAGTAATTTTATTTCTCCAGTGAAATAGATTGTTTGAATCTCCATCATGCTTTTGCAAACTGCATTTTTAATTACTTAAAGTTTTGTTTACTTATTTCTTCTTCATGTTTAATACGATATTCTAGTATCCCTGCATATTTAATGTAACTTCTAAAAACTAGATAACTTTTGTAATTTCATATGTAATTTCCCCTGACATACAGGTCCCTTGGAGTTAGTGGAAGCTTTAGAGCATGGAGGGTGTCCCACAGCAGGATGTAAAGGAGTTGGGCACATTAAAAGAGCAAGACATATCGGCCATCATAGGTATGTGCTATGAAACTGATTTTATTCAATTTAGTAATGTGTGCACACATTTTTTTCTAATTGCTGATCACAAGAAAACAGATCCAAACTGGAAAAAAATACTAAATTTTGTAAACTTAAATATGCGATGATTTCAGTTGCCATGGTAAGCCTGCTGAAATAAACATTAGCAATCTGTAACTTCATTTCACCAGGGTGTGCCAAGATAAGATTTGTCAAACATTGTTTTTGTCACAATTGATAGATTCAGCTTTTTTTTTTACAGCTCGGATGTTTTTGTTCTGCTTGGTTGGTAGGGGTGAGGATTTGCTTGTCGGATTGGAAAAATGCTGAAAATAAAAATTCCAAGTAATGTTCCCAAATTACAGCCTGAACAACTTGCTTTTTATACCTAGTTTTTCTGAAGATCCTTTTGTTGAGCACCTTCTGAAATACAATACAGAAATGTGAACATCCCAGGCTCTCCTGGAGGAGAGTTGACACAAAGAGCACAGTTGCATGGGAGAATAGATTGGGGCATAGACAGAGAAGGACAAAATAAATGGGAATATTTACTAAGTCAAAAAGGTACTATTTTAAAAATATTTACAATATGATACGAATCCTGAATGTTTCAGTATGTGAAATACAATTAATACAATATGTTGGAAATTAAATATCATAAATAGCATCCTATAACCTTTTAGCAAATCAGTTTCCAAACATTTCCTTGGATTTTTTTTACCATTAAACAGTCATAGGATCCTCTAATGCCATGCCATTTTGTGCTTTCTGCTGTCATATGGCTAGAGGATTGTTCTTTGCTAATTTATTTGTTTGTGGTTTTCAAGAATATTATCAAATTACCATGATTCAAGAGACAACACTGCAATCTTTTTTGCATTTTTGGTGGCAGAATTATGTCCTGCTGGCCAGAATTAGGTTACAAGGTTTTGATAGCATATCACCACTGGTTCAAGGCATTACTCATCCCTAACAAAGACATCTGCCAGCAAAATCCCCTGCATGTATGCAAGTTTAATTTGCAAAAGGCATCTTTTCTTGTAAGAAGCTTTTTCCTATGTACAGCAGAGGCATTGTGTTTGTGTATTAGGAGGCAGAACAGCCTTTACCTACAGGAAAGGATATGGCTAGGATAGCTCTGGGAAAAAAAAATAGAAAAAAAATAGCTGCAGTATGAACTGTGTTGTTGATCTTTCAATCATGGTACAGACCATGTCTGTCTTGCAGATTATTCTCACCTTTTTCCTTCTGTCTTTTTCTGTCCGTGTTCTTTTTTATTACTATTACTATTTCGTTTTTTCTGCCTTCCCTTTTGAGAAGCTTTGTTGATCTTAATCAGTAGGCATAAATAATATAGTTGATGCTTAAGAGGTACTTGTTCTTTTTTTTAGAGTTGCTGAAAAAGGTTCCTGGTTGCTTAACTGAAACTTGTTTTATTTCATATTCCAGTAGACTGAGTCTTGTATGATTTATTAATAAATCTGATGTGTAAAGCAATAATTTCAAATTCAGGGTATTATCTTCCTTAACATGTGCTATCTCAATTACTTAAAATCACGTGAACATAACCAGTCAGCCCAAGGCTGAAACTTAAAAGAAAAAGAAAAGAAACTGTATGTGAATGTGTCAGAAAAGTTTTTCATTTGTGAGCTTCTCTCTAAATAAACTTTGGCATTAAAACTTCTAACGTTTCACAGGGAAAGGATGAGTAAGAGGTATGTCTAGTTAGTTCATGTATTCTTTGCTTTTATAACTAGATTTTTCCAAGCTATTTAAAGTTATTATACTTACTCATACTGAATAGTGAGAAAAGTAATAAACTCATGGCAATGTATTGTGTTTTATTTTTACTATAGTCTTAGCAATCCTGTTATTTACATGTTAACTGTTAGTTCTAAAGGAAGAAAATATAATCTAAGGTATTTTTTTTACCATAAGGCAGAGAAAATTGCTGTTAAATAGAAAATAAATTACCACTATAAATATCTTTTTCTGTAACTTTATTAGTGGTGGGGTGGTTTTGTTTGTTTTGTTTTGTTGTTTGTTTGTTTGTTTTTTCCTTGAACATTTCTGAGGAAAAACATTAATTTGTTGTTTATCTGGAGTCTAGATTTGAGGGTCCAGGTCACCCCCCAGAATCTACAATGGTACCATTACTTTTTTCCTGAATTAACAAAGACATTTTGAAATTGGTATAATTATCCACATCAGGTTGCAGTCCCTTGGCTCTTCTATTGTGGCAGCCTTGAAATGTATTTAACCATGCTTATCTCTTTTTTTTTTTTTTTTTTTCATTATGAGGTGCAATATCTATCTACAGCATAAATGCCTGTGTGCAGAAAAGATGATAATTTAAAATGCTAAATAGTTCTGAAAGCATTTTGAGAGCTTGTTTCTAAGGAACCAGATGAAAGGCTTGGTAATTAATTATGTAGTGGGGCTAAAGCATTTACTTTTTGGAAAAGTCGATGTTAATAAGGACTTGCTGTCTATCACCATTTGATCTAGGATTTTGTGCTGGGCCCTTGAAACTGAGACTGGTGTGTAAGTTGGTAGCATCATGCAGATTATCTGCATATTTATGATAGATTGTGAATTGTGTGCTTTCTGACATTTAATGCATGCAATAATTTTCAAGTCCAAATTGCAAAGAAGAACACTCAGTTGTAAACAGGTCATTAGTGTTTTGGGTCAACTCTCAACTAAAGATCAAATCTACTTTAGCCAGCAGTTCTTAATTGTCATGGTTTTCAAGCAGTTAGAATGGGGAAAAATATAGATTTGTAATTCATAACTAATGGCATAAACATTGTTAAAGAACACAAGCTAAAATTTGCATGGTACCACTTACATACTAGTGACTCTGTACTTGTATTAACTAGAAGCCTGCTCCAACCATCAAATAAACATGGTAAGAAATAAAAAATATGCTGAAATGTTTAGGGACCAAAATGTAAGCTTGGAGAGCATTTTATCAGAAACTTCACATCCATTATGTGGAAATGAACTGAATGTGCTGTGATAGAGGCTATGTTCTCAGAGAACCATGGTGCAGAAGCACTGGAAGCCTCAGCTCAGCAGGATGTTCCATCTACTTGCTCAGCATCTGCTGAAATAAATCTCATCTGATATTGATGCCAGTCTCCGGTTTATTTTCTTTTATGTTAAGGTTATTGTCTCAAGCCAAATAGATTATAAACTATTGTTGACTCAGATTTATATTGTTGGAGGAACTTTATTTAAAAAAGAATGCATCAATGATAAACATATATTGTAAATTGTGATAGAGAACACTTGTATAATTTTCTGCAGAATAGTTAAAAATGTTTTCATAAAGTCAACTGAAGTAAAGACATCATTTAGTTAAAATCCAGAAAAGAAAGAAAAAAACACACACACATACACAAAAATTAATTCTCACAAAATAAAAATGTTGTTTAATTAAAAGAGACAATATTCAGGGATAATTTTTCAGCTATTTCATAGAAATGCTACTGGTATTTAACTCAGATAGAATTTCTACAGGTGAAAAGTAAGAACACAGTTTGCTCTGCTACTTTCTGTGCTTTTTGGGCAGTCAACAGGTCAAACAGTACATGATACTTCTCAAGATTGTTCTGCTTTGCAAAGCATGCATTGTACAGATCTGTCCTGGAGTACCAAGTGGAGTACTGAGTTTGCATTGAGGCTACAGAAAACATCCCCCAGATATTTGTCATCACATTATTACTGAAGATGTCTTACTGATCGCATATCACCACCAGCAGATGCAATCATCGGAGTGTAGCCTGTAGAAAAAGTCTAACCCATCAGTTAGTCCAATCTACTTGTTTGACCCATCAAGGAAGATAGTTCAGTCAAATTTGGGTGAATTTTCCTGGAGCTGCCATATAACCTCATCCCTTCACAGTGCTTGGCAATAACCTGCACCTAGAAGTTGCATCATGGACTGCAGTTGGTGACATTTGCAACCAGTACAGATAAACCAGGACAGCTATCTCTGGTTTCACCTAGGTTTGCCAAAGTCATAAGGGCTAACAATATATATAATTAAAAAATAATTCAATATTAACTTTCCTTTGCCAGAATAACGCCTTACTCTTCTTCTTTAGGATAAGGGAGAATGGTGGCCTAAGTTCCCTTGCAATATTATATGTAGCTGAGACTGTGTTCTGTGTTTCAGAAACTTTGCGTACTGCTGTCTTGAAGACTGGAGCATCTCCAGATACCTGGAGAAAATTATGTTTCAAGCACCCCATTGGTGGCCCAGTTTTATCCTACTACCCTTGAACTTTTGAAAAGCAAGATATGTGTTAAGCTATACATAGAGATATATCCTACGAGTGATTGAAGAACAGTTGCAGAATAACCACAAATGGGATATGCTACCTCTACACATTTGATCCACTGGACAGTTCTGGAAAGGGACAAATAGTGTGTTAGGGCAAAGCAAAAGTTGGAGCTGAAATCAATGTTTAAGTTGAGAGAAGACTTAAAAACCCTAATTTATTTTTTTAATAACCTCGTGATCAAGACTTTTGAGCTCTTGAGTTGAGTTGCCTCTAAAACTTAGTCATGTATAAATCAAATACTTCTATTATGCATGAGTAACAAGATTAATTTTTTAGTCTTTGTAGATACAAGTTATGTTGAACTGAAAGCTGGAGGCATTGAGATTCACGAGGATGTACTGACTGATCTAAAGCCACCTAATTCATTACACAGGTTCATTCATGCTGTGTTTTGTTGAAACAAAACTGACAGTGGAAATCATGAGAGTTCTTTTTGTTGCCTCAAGTAACAGAAACATCAAAGGAATGTTATGGAGTTTTTTTTAACATGTTACATCAACTGGAAGGATTAATTACAAAGAAAAACTCATCTGAATGTAGTGCTCCAAAACTTCATTAATATTATAAATTCTGTTGACTGAAATTGTCATTCAGCACCTGCTTTTCTGGAAACTACTAAAGGGAAAAGCACAAAAAGAAAAAAAAAAAAAAAGCAAATTCCTATGGAGAACTAAATTTTGAGGGTTGTGCTTACTTTTTATTTTAAAACATATTAATGATGTTGGCAAACAGAAGATTTGCTGGAGATGAAGTTGTAGTGTCAGATTTCGTTGTGACGTAAGGCTTGTTTAATAATACATACCTGAAGCTAAATATCAATTTGTTTGTGTTTAGTGTTTCCTTGGAACACCCTCTAACTGCTTAAAAATGCTAAGCCTTAAAACATCCCTGTGAGCACAGGAAGTCAAAAGAAGATCACACGCTTTACCGTGCTGCAGTAGCAGAACTGAGATGGACCATTATATTGCTGAGTTTCACATAACTGCAGTTTATCACAATGGTACGAGTTTGTCACAGCCAGTACTTAAATCCCGTTGGCATTGGCTCCTTAAACTGTTTTCTGCATAGAAGCCTGTATATTTCAGCTTGTACTTCATTTGAAAGGGAAAAAGGATGTCATTGTGATATATGCAGCAATATAAAGGATTAAGAATATAAAACAAATTCCCCACTTCCCTAGTCTTCGTCTTTTTCTTCCCCATGCTTCAGTTCCTGGCTTTTAGTTCTTTTAAGACATCTGGCAGATACTAGTCCTGAAACAGATTTAAAAAAAAATAGAAGGTACAAAAATAAAAGTAAGTAGAAGTATATAAACAAATCTAAAGTGAAATGCTGAATTCTGTTTAAGAGAAATTAGAAATAGAAGTCAAATGCTCTAAGTTATTTTTTTCTTTATATACGCTGCTCAAAGTCTTTAAAACAAATTCATAAACAAAAAATACCCTCTTTCAAGGGGAGTGCTTTAGAGTCCAACCACCCATTTGGCTATAGCTCATTCTGCTCTATAAACTTCTGGTGTGAAAGTTTTCATGCCAAAACACTTCAGTGCCTTTGTCTCATAGGAAGTGCTGGGACTATCAACAAGTTCCTTTGAAGAAGGAACTTGGGTGTGTTTCATTATATCACATAGGGAAGGATGGGTGTCCCTTATAAACACGGTGCAAGCTGTTGTTAGACCACCATCTGCTTAGAATGGCATTACATGGGGATCTGATCTTGATTAGAAAAGCAGAAATCACATTCTGCTGACATGTTTTTCCTCCACAATTCAAGTTCAGAATAGCTATACAAGGATTTTTAAAATGTTGATATTGTCTTGTTCAAGTAAACCGTCTGAAAAGAAAAAAAAATCAGACTTTCTGTTCGACTCTTTTTTTAATAACCCCAGAAAGGACTGACTGACTTAGCTTGTGTAATGTTAAGAATTTTTTTCCTTTTATGCTAGTGCTGAGGGAAATGTAAATTCCCACCAACTTTTTGTTTATGTTGGTAAGACCAAAATTAGATTGCTAATATTGGACCAACCTCATGGTTAGAGTTGATTCATGATCACCATGAATCCAAGGCTTCATGGGTAAAGGAGCAGGAGGATGTACAGCATATTTTGAATAAAAGGCCTTTTGTTTTATGCTGTGCTTTGAAGAATGAACATGACAATTAAAGCTGTTGTTTTTCTGTTTATTTTTTGTAATTTGGAGGTGGCAAGGCATATTGCTGGCAAGATAGACTTGTTTATATCAGTTCTGTTTGGAAATCAGTGAAACAAAACATTGCAGTGGTTTATGGAAAGACAGGTAGTTGTATTCTTGAAAGAAAACAAGTTAAATCCTCAGATTTATTTATTTTTTTAACATTTTAACATTATAGAATTCCTTGTAATAATACAGAGGAGTAGGAAATTTTAGATTATAGTTAGTGTAGTAGCTCATTAACCCCAAATAAAGCATGTTTATCTTAAATAAAGATTTGCAAACTGAGTTGTTGTTCACTGTCATGGCATATATATCTTTCAGAATTTGCTATATTGTCTTTGGAAGAACACCATGCAATGTTCAGCTGGTTACTCAGTAAACATACAAGTATAATATCCCAAATGCATAATATACATTTACATATACTTCAAAAGACAAAATCCGAGTTCAGTCCAGTGTGTTCTGTGTTGCTGTTGTTCCCTTTCCTACACCTTGTGAAAACACGTGTTTTCTGGTGTTAGGAGGTATGACTTTCACACTTGTTAGAGTAATATTTACAAGTCATTATCAAAACACTGAGTCAAATTATGTCACTAACAGGAATGCAGTGAAATGGGGAGCGCTGTATGACAGGAAGGTGTGTGAGAAATATACATCTAGTGGAGTAAAAGTCTCCATTGCAAAGATGGGGCATTTGCTGCAGTGAGGAAGTGTGCCATACCTCATATTGTGCCCTTGCAATGCAGTCTCTTTGTAGACACTGCAAAATAAAAATCTCCTCCTTTGCAGGAAAAATAACCATAGGAATACAATTGTGTTATTAGGAGTGAGATGGAGGTAGTTAAAGGCATCCTGTATATTATATATAAAATACCATTAGAGGAATGAGAGAGCAAACTAAACATTCATCAAACAGTTTGCAAGAATGTACACTGTAATATAAATTTGTGTTACATAACTTGCTGTGGAAATGAAATATGAAAAGCATTCAGGTTGAAGTTTTCAATCAGTGTATTTATTAACATTTTAAAGCCTGACTACTTGTTGCATTTTTTCTAATCTTTTCTATGTGAATTGATTCCATCTACTTCTAGAAAATTGATCTCTGAGGTCATTTCATTTGAACTGAGTGAAGTCTATAAAGTGACTGAAAATAAGGGGATGTTTCTTCTACTTCTAGTGCAGTCAGCTGCCCATACTCTGAGATGAATTTGAACAAAGAAAGCCTCTTACCTGATCGGCTGAGTGGGGAGATGCCTGCAACAAATCCTGTCCCGAGAAACAGAAGAGTGGAAGCAAGAGAAAGATCCCCCTCTCCTGTAATCAAGTAATTATGATCAGAATCATGCCTCTGACTAACTGCAATGCTTTATTTAAATGTTCTGTAGCATATTCTATAGTTGTGCAATGGCTGAATAGTTCCAGGAAGACCTGTCTATTTTTCTGCATTTTCATTTACAGGGAAGGAATGATTTCATCAATGCTTATTGAAAAGGTCACTGAACTGTCAAAGAATTCAGCTGAATATTTTACTGTGTGTGATTTAACAAGAGTTCAGTTTCACATTCAATCTAGCTATGTAGGCTACTAGGTGATTAATTGGAAATAAATGGATTGTTTGCCTGTTGGTTTCACTGAAGAAAATGATTTATTTCAAAGAATCATAGAACCATAAAATGGTTTGGACTAGAAGGGACCCTAAAGACCATCCATTTCCACCCCCCACCAGACCAGGTTGCTCAAAGCCCCATCCAGCCTGGCCTTGAAAACCTCCAGGAATGGGGCATCCACAGCTTCTTATTTGTGTTTCTGTTGTTTGCTGGGGTGGCCTTATGGATATGACTGTAAATTAATGTTGCTCTTTTAATAGCCACTATAAATTCTGTCATTATTGTGGGAGTGGAGAATTGAATTACTGGGAGTGAGTTCTGCAAGAACGATAACTCTGTAGCTGAAGCTTCTTTCGGGAATACTGTGAAAAGACAAATGGATGTGATACCAAGAGCCTCTTCAAATGATGATTTTCCATCAGAAATTGTGGACACTGATTCCTGTGCTTGTTTTGTGTTAGAGAGATATACAGAGAATTTAAGAAGGAAAAGAGAAGCTTTTCATTCCTTTTACAAGGGGCACATTAATGAAAATGTCAATGGGTATAGTGAAGATTTCTTCCAAGTTTTCTCTGTAATTACCTCATATTTTCAATAGATGATGTTTCAAATGAGATTCTCAGAAACAGTTTCAGCTTCATGCTTTAAAAACAAAATACTCATCTGTCACAGAGCACTGTCTTGTTCAATTGTTCTTGAAAGTGTAGGATTGTAGAAATCTGAAGTGACCTAATTGCCCTCTGACAGCTAGCCTAAATAAGGCCTCAGTGAAGCAGTAAAAGTTTCACCAGTGTTCTCTGTGATAGAGACAGTATTAAGTGCTACTTTTTTAACTGTCCCAATTGACAGATTAAATGCATAGCTGTGTATTGTGAGAGCTGGGGTTGCAGAAAAATATATTTGAAAGTTTTTTTGTGTTACAAGAATTTGAAGTGAGTAGTTTATTAACAAAAATAACATTAGGCAAGCTCTGTTCCTGTTGAATTGTCTGTAAGCTTTATCTCTGACTTCATGAGAAAGAGAATATTGTGATTTTTTGAAAGTCCCAGGTATGCAATTTTAATTTTTTATCAACTGAGATATTCGTGTATTTCTTAAAAAACAAAAACAAACCAACTAACAAAACAAAACAAAACAAAAAAAAAAACTTAGATTTCTTCAATGACACTGATTCTTTATCCATAAAGAAAATAAAATGAATAACTCTCTCAGTTTTAAACATTTTGATATTTTGTTCTCAGCAGTGACAGGAAATGTCCCAGCCCTGGTCACATAGGTGCAAAATCTTCAGTTCATAATCGATCGTCTGCAAAAACTGTATCAGAAACAACTAAACAGGAAGATAGAGAAAGTACATCTCCTTGCAAGAAACCGCCCCTGTTATGTGACATGAAAGAAAAGAAGCCACCTAGGTAACTATAAGTTCCTTCCAAAGTGGAGACTTTGTTTGGAGCCTGTCAATTTCAAATGCAAGCTTACAAATACAGTGCAGTGCATTTTACCCATGGAGCTCTTGGAAGGAGCAGGAGGAAGAAGAAAGTTTTTCTTATTAGAAGAAAGTCTTTCTATTAGAAACAGGGAAGAATGGAGTGTCACAATGTATTTAAGAACTAAGTAATGCATATCAGAAAGGATAGGAAAAATACTACAAGACAGAAGAATTACTGGAAGCAATTCTTTAGCTCTCAGGTTTCAGAATGTGTTTTTGACAAAGAATAACATGGGATAGTACATTAGGAAATAATATTTACGGTATATGAAGGCTATCTTTGAAACTAAAGAGATCATGCACTTCTGTGTTTTCATGGAGATGTGTAGGATTCCCTACATTTTTCATTAGTAACAGTATTGGTGCATTATTTATTGGCTATTTTCTTAAAGAAATAGAAGTAAGACACCCTGGTACAAAATTGTCATTTGTTATATATTTACATTAACAACACTATCTTGTGTTCATCATATATGAACTGTAAATGTTTATAATAATAGTGTCTTCAGAGACTTTGGAGAGGTAGATTTATATGGTGAATACCTCATGGTAAAACTGGTGATGGAAACTTCACTGTCTTGTTAAGACACAATTAAATGACCTGAAACTCTGGTATGAGCTTTTTTTATTTTTTTTTTCTTTCTTGAACTACTATGCACTCACCTTTATGCCAAAAAGTCCTGTAGTAAGTTTTTTTTTGTTTTTTTTTTTTTTAATGTGTGGCTTTTTATATGTTTTAAATTCTGTCAACTTTTCTTTAGAACGTTCTGTCACATTATTTCAACCATGACACTATTATTATTAAAGCTATATTGAAAAATACCTATTAGGATCAACAAGCAGTTTTGATATATCCATATCACAAATAAATATAATTCATTAGTCATACTCCAGTGAATCCAGCAAAAAAGACAGAATGACATTCCCATATGTAGTTCTGAAATGACCTGTGTTAAATAACAGTTCTTGTTCATCAATTCAATTATATTTGTAGTAAATTCATTTTTTTTTCTGTAAATAAACATTGGCTTCACAGAATATCTCTTAAAATTAATTGAAGAGCACTTTATTTAGTCATTCATTTTTTTAGAGGGTGTTATTTTTATGAAGCCCTAAAATAGCAGATATGTGTGCTATCTGTTCACTGCATTGAGTCATTTTCATTCAGAAAATAACAGCCTTCTGTGAACTTTGAACTGCCCAGAGGCTCTGCAAGTTGTTTAACTGTTTGAATACACTGATGACTATCTTCATTTTATCATCTACCTTTCCACATTCTTTATGTAGTCAGCATAGTCAGAGCAGACTTTCAATTGAATAAACTTCCTTTTAAAAAGGTATGAAAAATGATCTTCAGAAAGTTAGGTATGTATGAACTACTAGAGTTATTGAGTATCTGGTTATTGCAAGGCCCAGTGGATCTTTTTAGATGTGTATTCAAAGTACACATGTATAATTGAAGACAGCTATACTTTTGTGCTCCTCAGCTGCTGAGCTTTTTGTGTTGATTTAATTTTGCTTGACTTCAGTACAGTTGTGTTTGTCTTCATGTTTTAGGCAATATTTTGTTTCGTAGAAGTACTTGGTTGAGAAACCAACCACATATGCAACCAACCATGAGATTTATTTTGTGGTAAACCTAAGTGGTACTCAGCTAATTTCCTGTTCTACCTCCTCCTTTGCTTTCCTTTTTTTTTTTCTTTGCATTTTTTTTCCCACTAATAAGAGGTATTTATGTGTGCAGATGATTATTTATACCAGAAAAATTTTGTTTTCAAAATTAAGTGTGTAAAAACCAGAGTATGTCCTCTGGAATGTTCCTGAAAATTCAAGATAGAAATGGTATGCCTACAGCATATTCAATTTTAAGTTGAAATTGAATTTCATTGTAATAGAAATTCTACTCTGGAAGTATTTATAGTTAAGGAAGATGAGCACTAAGGCTAGGGAATCAAATGCTACTACCTCATAAAAATATTTAATTTATCTTCCAACCCCTTCCTCAACACCTTCAATTAATTATATTAACTTGTATTTAGCTAATGTGATAAAATATCTGGATGTATGTCTCCATGAAAATTGTCCTCGAGAAAATAGGAAGATAGGTATTTCCTCACAGGTTTTGGAGATCTCTGTTCCTTATGCTGAGTTACACTACTCATTTACTTTGGTTTCTGAATTAATTGTGCTACTTTGTAGCATCATTCTTTAGAAGTTTTCTATGTTTATGAAAGTTAGGGGGGAAAAAATCAGTAAATAAGTAGTTACAAAGGCTAGATTTTCTGATCTGTTGTGTTAATTTTGCACCATTTGTAGTTTGTTAAATACATTTCTTTCTATATCAGTGAACTTGCAGGTCCTACCTGATTTATTCCCAAAAGCTTACTTGCATTAAGTAGGTATAAATGTAGGCAATGGAATTAAACAGGTCTGTTTTTTCAATGGGATTGTATTTTGAAGTTAGCTAATTAGCTAAATTAGCTTCCTAGGGTAAAAAGGCTCTGCAGGAGGATCTGGATAGGCTGGACCAAAGGGCTGAGGTCAACTCTATGAAGTTCAACATGGCCAAGTGCCAGATCCTGCACCTGGGGCGTTATAACCCCAAGCAGAGCTACAGGCTGGGACATGAGTGGTTGGAAAGCTGCCTGGCAGAGAAGGACCTGGGTGTATTGGTTGATACTCGGCTGAATATGAGCCAGCAGTGTGCTCAGGTGGCCAAGAAGGCCAACAGCATCGTGGCTTGTATAAGAAGCAGTATGGCCAGCAGGTCTAGGGAAGTGATTGTCCCCCTGTACTTGGCTCTGTTGAGGCCACACCTTGAGTACTGTGTTCAGTTTTGGGCTCCTCATTACAAGAAGGACATCGAGGTGGTCAAGCGAGTCCAGAGGAGGACAACGAAGCTGGTGAGGGGTCTGGAGAACAAGTCTTACGAGGAGCGGCTGAGGGAGCTGGGCTTGTTCAGCCTGGAGAAAAGAAGGCTCAGGGGCGACCTTATCACACTCTACAGGTGCCTTAAAAGAGGCTGTAGTGAGGTGGGGGTTGGTCTGTTCTCCCATGTGCCTAATGACAAGATGAGGGGGAACAGGCTAAAGTTGTGCCAGGGGTGTTTTAGGTTGGATATTTGGAAGAACTTCTTTACTGAGAGGCTTGTGAGGCATTGGAATGGGCTGCCCAGGGAAGTAGTGGAGTCACCATCCCTGCAGGTCTTTAAGATGTTCAGATGTTGAACTTAGTGATATGGTTTAGTGGAGGACTTGTTAGTGTTAAGTCAGAGGTTGGACTCGATGATCTTGAGGTCTCTTCCAACCTAGACGATTCTGTGATTCTATGATTCTGTAATCTTGATGCCTAACAGGCTCTTAGCTCCAGTTGTGTGTTGTTTTGTTGTTGTTTTTAATCTGTGGAATGTTGGTAAAGTTGTTCTTGTTTTATTGTTGATTACTTCTCTTGTACTCAGTAAAACCTGAGTTCAAGTAATGGGCTTTCTTACAGTCTTGACTTTAAGGTCCTTCTGTCTGTCAGCTATTTTAACAAAATATTCATTATGTACTTAGTATCTCCGAGAGCACTATTTCTGTGATGATTTAGAAAGAATTGGCTAGTGTTCTCATGTTACTGAAAAAGGAAGGAAACAAATACACACATAATGTCAGCAAGCTCATCTAAACTTCATTTCTGTAAGAAATAACAGAAGGGTAAAAATATTTCCAGTGGGATCATTAACACCTGCACAACAGTGTGTCAATACAGTACAGGTGTTGGAGATGAAAGTTGGGTAGAGAAAAAGAAGTAGATGTTTAAGACAGCTCCTGAGAATAGCCTGGATAACCAGTAAGGCTTTGTGGGATATGCAGCTGTATATATGTCTTTTTTACTCTTCTCATCTTCTGCCATGAACACGTCCACTGCCTTCATTTGTGTATTTTCTAGTTTCAGTTATGAAGTCAAGTAAGTTTATCTGATTTATAGAATTTTAGTTTACACTACTCTTAAGCCTTAATTGCAAAACTCATGTCAGTAGGCATTAGTATCGCCATCTGTGTAAGTCAGAAATTTGATCCTCCTCTTTTATATTTTATGATGATACAATGTCCCTTGTGTGGGTATCCTGGTGTGTTAATGATCTAGCATTGTTAGCAAGCAATTTCATCATGCTTAGTGATTTTTATTATGTATTAATAAAAACAAATGTCTATTTTCCTCAGTGGGGTACTACAGACAAAGGACTCCATAAAGAACAAAGAGTGTGAGGAAGAGGAGATAGAAAATAAGCTGCTCATTTCAAATGAAATTAAAGGTAACCTGGCAGTATTTTTGATATTTACACTCAATATTAAAATCTGAAGAACTAAAGTGTGGCACTCCTTGTAAGTCTTCGTGAAACTGCATTACAACTTACTTTACATATTTGCTATTTGTGTCCAAAAGTTTTTTTGACAGCAACACTTTCAATGGTGTGTTTATCTTGTAATCAACAGAGGATTTGCTGAGAACATTACTGAAGTTGTAAAGTTGAGTACAAACAGAATGTTGGTATAAAATGTTTCCTTTCACTGACTTTTACAAATAGATAATTAAACCAGTCTGAATTTTAAAGTTATTATGTTCATTTATTGCTTCAAAAATGTATTGGAAGGAAGTTGAAGATGCAAAGTTCTGCATTTACATGTTAGCTCCAATGCAATGTTAAAGTGACTGATTCAGCTCTAGCTCAGTCTTTTGTGCAGTCTGATTGCTTTGAGCCCCCCATATGCAGAATGGGCATTATTCGTATGAATTAGAGAGGGAAGACTAAGATTTTTACTTCATTGAAAAACTGGAAATAACCCAGTGGAGGGCCACCAAGATGATTAGGTGGTTGAAGGACTTGACATATAAAGAATTGTTGAAGAAATTGGCTTGTTCAGAGTCTTCCAGTAACTAAAAGGTAATTACAAGGAAGATAAATGTACCCTCTGCTTCAGGATACACTAGTGTATCCTGATAGTGTATCCTGTGAGCAGATGAGCTCACATGATGAGGTGAGGCAATGGGCATGAGTTGCTTCAGGGGAAATTCTGTCTGGATATAAGGAAGAAACTTTCCACCATGAGAACAACTGGAATAGGATGCCCAGAAAAGAGGTGGAATCTCTTTTGCTGGAAATATTTAGGACTTGGCTTGACAAGACCCTGGATAACCTAGTCTAATGCTTTGTTAGCAACAGAACGTTCCATCATAGGGTCTCCAGAGGACCCAATGATGGAATGTGGAAATGTCCACAGACCGGACATATTTTTTGATTCTGTAAGGTTTCGTTTACCACTGTGTCAAAACTCTTGTCTGTACAGATCCAGCTGGACAGATTGAGGTGGCTGTACATTATTCATTTTTATCCTCATCAGAAAGAACAGAGTACAAAACCAGAACATTACAGTCTTACCCCTGAAAATTATTTGCTGTGAGTGAGACTTAGTATGTCAGGCTATTTAGTTCCTGAACTGAAATGGCATATTGTTTCAGAGCAGCTTTTGCTGCGATAATATGTCACCTCATACAAGTTCAATGAGAAGCTAGATGCTCTTCATTTGATATTTTAATTCCATAACTTTTTAGATACTTTTTTTCAGCAGTTTGTTGTGCAACACAAAATTTGTAAGGCCTTTGTCCAGAAATCTTAAGTAAGACTTGAGTAACTGTGGTTCTTTAAGAGCTACATTTCTTACCTTTTAAGTGAGCTTATCCTCATGAAAACTGAAAATTCTTCTAGACTAGTTGAACATCACATAAAAATAAAATTTAAGGCAGTGTTTGATTTTTAATTATTAACCTCTGATACATTTCTTTTACCTTAAAGTTTGTTTGTTTGGCAGCACTTTTCAAATGGATCTAAGAGACACTCTGAAGAGTGTGTGAAATATGAAATATTTTGTCTATTACAAGAGGTGTAAAAATCCAAGTTGTTACAGTGTTTTGAAACATGATGTAGTGCAGAATTCTGGAGAAAATGAAGAATTAAAAGAAGACTCTTTCTAAAGAGATGATAAAGATTTTGGTCATTTGAAGTACTTTGCTTCAACAGAATAGAAACATACTATTCTGATGTTGCATTATATAATGCAGTACACAAAAAAAAAACAGTGAATGTTTTAAATTGTATGCAATTCTTTGTGTATTCTAAGAAAAATGGTCCAATTTTATGAAGCATTTTGATTTTGGCAGAATTGACTATTTGAGCAATTTCACTCTGCTTACTACTTAGTATGCATTTCTGTATATGGTCCTACATGACTAGATTCGTAAAACTAGAAAACTTTCTTGTATTATTGTTTAACAAAGTGATTCTTTACTTCTTTTCTGTACACATAATTTTGTGGCATTATTGGTGTAAATGTGCTGTAATACCTAATCTTTAGATTCTTTAGAAGAAATAGATCAGTGAGCTCTTGCTATTGTAGTCACAAAAAGCTCAAGCTAAAGGGACTTCGACAATACAGATGTTTGTTAACTGTAACTACTGGCATCTGAGCTAGTTGCCATAATTTTTCTACATGTCACTTACATTAGTATTCTTCAGCCTATTTTTGCCATCTTCACTTGACCAGATCTCTACTAATACTTTATAAAATGTGTACTGTTTTTTGTTTGTTTGTTGTTGTTTTTTTTTTTTTTTGAGAAGGATTATTTAGAGCTAAAGAGCACCACTGAAATCATGGCCCCTTTATACTAACTTGTATTTATGGATACAAATCATGTGTTTAAAACATTTATGTAGACTTGGAGCTAGAATATTCATGAACAGTGTTAGGGGTCTCTCAGAAATGCAAAAAAAGCATTTGCCACTTGGCTTCTTGGAAATTTTAGGTTATTTAATTGAAAGGGATCAAACTAAGAAGATAAAGATGAAGTAAGGAAGACATTTCAGAGAGAAGGGTAACAAGGCCCTCTTAAGCATGGAGAAGGCAGAGACAGGTAGATTGATGCTGAAGCAGAATGTCATCACAGAAGAGCAGTGGTCAGGATTAAAAGGGTTTCTAATATCTTTCCGGCAATCAGATTTTATTTCTTCACTTATCTGGTGCAAGGAATCCTCTGCATCTGTGGTGAAACTGGTTAACACATGGTGCTTTTCAGGGTCCTGTTCTAAATGTCCAAAGTGGGACTTCACACCAGGACTTTATTTCGAGTACATCATGTGTTTTATCTGGCCCATGAACACGATTTTCCTCTTCCTGGAAAGCAGGGCTTGCAGAACAAGGAAGACCAGAGCATGAAGTGGGTAGAACTTTTAGATGAAGAAACTCAGAAGTCTGGTATTATACACGTGGATTGTAGCCAAAATACTGTCCTCTGCGCCATCTTGTATAAGAAGTTACCCCAACTAACTAAGCCTCAACTTTTTTTTTTTTTTTTTTTTTTTTTTTTTTTTTTTTTTTTTTGCCAGGGATGTGACTATACACACTGCAGGACTGAAGGACTTTTTTTTTCTTTTTTTTTCCCCTACATCTAGTTGATAGATTGGCACTTTTCATGCTCCTCTTTTGCAGTGCAACTTATGTGTGAGGGAGATAAGACACAGGCTGATAAGCAGAGGCATTTTTGCCCACATCCTGAAAGGCAGTAGGCACTGAATTCTTTTTCTTGTCATTAACTAGAGATCTTGAATGAGTAAACCTTGTACTCCATCAATTCCATTATGCAGTGTCACATTAGTGAACTTATTTTCTGCTAATGTCATTCGTAAATCGTTGAACTGTTTGCTGTAGTTTCTAAAAAAAAAATAAAATGAAAGGAAAGAAAACAAACAAAACCAAAACCAAACAACAACAATATGGGACAGATGTCCAGCATAGAATTTTCATCTGGAATTATTAGGAATTATTATTATGCTGCTGTAAACAACAGAAAATAAGGTACATATGGGATAGATAGGTACCTTTAACTGACATTACTGTTACTCACTACATCTGAATCTATATGCTCTTATATATGCTTAAATACATGCACTTTAATTGGAATATTCTTGGCACAGTATTGTTATCTGTTATTTGTTTTACCACAGCAATGCATTACGTGCTTTGCAAATGGAAAAAAAATCCTAACATAATTTTATTCTCAACTCTTAAGATATTTTTTAGAAAGAAAAAAAAAATGAGCTAGGGATAGGGAACTGATTCGAGGAGCAATGAGAAATATATTGTTCGGTAAAACAAGCTTCACATTCAATAGGTTTGCTGTCTTGCAAGACTATTTTTTTGTCACTGAGATTTTTAGAAACAAGCTCTAAGGAAAATTTAAAGAACAATAGTGATGTGTAGATAGACATTTAAGGATATCACTTCCATGAGTAAGTATATGATAGAAAAAAAATGAAGACTGAAAAAATATAATGAGTAGACTGACAATGCTGACTAAATACTTTAAAAGTAAACTTTGGAATAATGGATATAGGATATAAAGTGAGGGTAGATCTTGAAAGTAACCAGAATTAAGTTGGAGGAGCAGAAGAACACAAAAGAAACGGAGTTCAGAGTTGCTGGGTTTGATAAGAACACAGAGAGTTTTGGAGAGACTGCTGGAAGAGACTGGGAAGAGCTTGGAAATCACCTTCAGTAAGGTCTGAATTGAGATGACGCTGAGGTTTCAGGTTGGGGTAGCCAACATGATAGTGGTGGGAAATATTGGAGGGAAGGAGGAAGAGGGAGTGAGAATTAAAAGCAGTTATGAAGAGTTTGGTGGAATGGGATCATTGAAGCAAGGTTAGGGGAAAAGGTAAGCACAAAAATTGCATGCATCAGGGAGAGCAGAGGAGAAAGATTAGGTTAATGTAGTGATAGGAAAGGGCAGGTCCAGCTGAGGGAGAATTGCTTCTCTCTCTCTTCCCCCTCCCCCCCCCCCCCCCTTTTTTTTTTTCTCTAGGGAGAATCTGCAAGATTGTCTAGAGAGAAGAGGAGTTTTAAGAAGTGAAAAAAAATATGCTGCAGTCTGCTGATGTGAGTTTAAAACATAGATTAGTTAAGATAAGAAGATGACAACTGATGTGGAAGAGACCAAATTCATAGTGAAAAAAGTTGGATTTGTTGCAGCATTTCTGCAGACACATTTCTTATCTTTACAAGTAGTAGCAATGGCAGCAGGTGTGCAGATGCTGGAATTAGAAGGTTGGAGCTAGTTTCAATTTGTTTTTCCAGCAAATAATACCCTCCATAGTGTAGTAGCAGGGTACTTTCCAAGTTAGTACCTGCAATGTCTGCAGAGCTGATGTCTTTACTAATATAGCACCTCTTTCTCTTCCTCTGCCCTCTCCCAACCCAAAAGAAACTGTTCTCAAAGCAGTTTTACTGCTGTACCTGAGTCTACTGTAACAGTTTGTTAGGTCAGTACAGCTATTGCTGCTTCTACATTAATTAGCAAGTAATATGACCCAGTAGAAGCAGATTTGTAAAGTGAATCATGTGGTAGTGAAGATACAGTATGTACTGTAGCCCCATTTCAGGTGGATTATTGCTTGGGCTTTACTCCCCTCATGCACTGCCTGCCCATTAGTGACTAGCACGCTAGGTGTGCTCCTAGAACTTAAACTTCTAGTTCAGTTTCATCCAAAATAAATCAAGTCTGCTCCATGCTGTGAAACAAGGTGAGGTAAGTAGAGAAGATGAGTTTCATGTCAAATACATGCTCCTAACCTGAACTAAAACAGTAACGTAAACACTTCCTATGTTGGCCACATTATATATTTCAAACTGGTCCCATTGTGATGGCAGAAATCTGTAATAGGAATTTGTGCCCCAGTTGTTGGGAACAAATGTATGAAAACTAGATATGAAAACTAGAACGGTAAAAATAGAGAGATCTATGAATAATAGCAACTTCCCAAAAATTGAAATAGAATGGAGCTGTAATAGAAGTGAACAATCCAAACAAGAATAGCATAGAGATTTGTGAGTGACTGTATGAAGTAATGATAGTATGGATATTAGATATAGATTCTTTGACTATTTCATTCAGAAATGCAATCCAGAGGTTTTACACAGTTTTTCTCTGCAGCTGGGAGGCATTCAGGCCTCAGTTCATAGCAGGCTTGTTGCTTTTGGATTTGCAATGGGTCTAAATGAATGTAGATGTCATATGCGGTTTGACATCATTCAAGGCATGACTCTTCACTCTCCTCCTACACACATTTGCAACTGCTGCTGCTCTCCAAACACCAGCAGCAACAGCAGCATGTGGCTGAAGCCACCCTCCCACCTGTACATGAGCTCTGAGGCAGGTGGAGTGGGAGCCTCCTTCCTTCCATAGTGGATAAGTGAGATAAAAATGGGAAATGACCTTGCAAAAAATAAAAAGGAAAAAAAAAAAGGCATCATGGAGGAGTTAAATGTTATTTTCCAAATAAAACATTCAGTTAAAGTGGGAGCAGAGAATTTGCAGACATTTATGTTTTTTTCTCAGAAGAACAGAAAAACATTTTGTTGTGGATGAGGCATAAACGTTGTGTGGGCTGGAACCGTTCAACTGATTCACTTGGAATTTTATAGCAGTGCAGTGCTGGTTTTGATGAAATTTTACAGCTCAACCCTGGCATTAAGCTAGTTCTTGTCATACGGTGTAACTGTTAAAAGTGGGTGTTAATTATTGTATCAAAATACTTAAAATTATGTGACCTATGGTGTGATATGCCAACAGTTGTGTTAGCATAGCATTGTGTTATGTTAAAGGAGCTTTTTTCCCTGTAAGAGTAGTTACATTTGTACAGAGCCAATATAATCACAGTCATACTAGTGGAAGAATACTCATCGTACTCCTGTAATTCTGGTGTAAGCAAAATTGTACACCTTTTGTAGGGAGGCCCACGTATATTAATAGAAATGAATGTGATTTACTGTGACTGATCTCATCACCAACTGAGAGATTTAATGATTATTTATTACTTTCTGTTGAAGATACTGAAGAACCCAATACCCAGAGGCTTCTTTCTCAACCAGTTGTTGTGTCTTCAAAACTGCAAATCCCTGGCCTACCCTTGCGCTGGGAACAGCACAGCAAGCTCCTTCCAAGTGTAGCTGGGATCCCAGCCAGTAAAGTTTCTAAGTGGAGTACAGATGAGGTAGGTTTTCCTTGTATCTTTTGTCTCACTGCCAACACCCTCGACTTCTTGGTTTATTTAGAGCTATAGATTAACCCCATAAATTACTGATAATGAATTAGTACTCAGAAGATTAGACAGGCAGACCTAATATAACAGGCCCTCAAAGTGCTCATTCAGCTGCCATCAAGCCCTAAAAGCAGTACGTATTCATTCATACATGTATAGATACAGGTATAAGCATAGATACAGATGCACAAATAAATGTATATGTATATAGATTCACTGGGGTTAAAGAGGAAAAGAGCAATACTAAGTGTGTGGCCCAGCATGTGCACAAGGTCCACACTAATGACATCTAGCACCTGCACAAACATTTTGTGGGAACGGTCCAGGGGTCATGGACCAAGAACTATTCCCTATACTTACTTTGGATGTAGCACACTGTTATGGAGGGTGAAACTGTAGTCTGTATACGAATAGTATAGTTATGGTCAAACCATGACATTTAATTTCAAAATCAAACGCCCATTGCTGTTCAGGTGTATATTAATGCTTGGACAGAGAGGATCTAGTCCCTGCTTCACTTTTAGAAGTGCCTATGACTAAGGCACTTTTCTGTGGATGGAACTGTTGGACCTCCTCTAATCAGAAGAAAAAAAGGAAATTTGAGAAAAGATTTGCTAGTCCTTCTGCTGCAAAGAATAAAAGGAGAGGAAGGCAGCACACACTTTTGTTTGCGCAAAGGGATTCACCAAGAGAGGATTCATTATTTTGGATGTGCATATGTAGAGTAACCTGACTGACTGTGAGGGAGTAGCCATTAATCTTGTCCTTACACAGCCAGCTGCATGACTGAGCACTGACAGAATGTGAAGTACCTAATTAGAGGATGCAAAAACAACTAGAAACCTTTGTTTTAATGTATGTCAACCTTTAAGATTACTTTGAGAAGACCCCAGTCTTACTAAATCTGTAATTGTATTCTTTGGTGGCAGGTCTCTGAATTTATACGGAGTTTACCAGGTTGTGAGGAACATGGCAAGGTGTTTAAAGATGAGGTGGGTAAATTTTATTTAAAACAAATCAAAGAGTGCAAAGCTTAATGGAAAAATTAATTTTATTTTGTCACTAAAAACACATGTAAACTATTTGGATGAAGTGTATATTTGAAGTTAGAGGCATGTATGTGGGAGATTAGGTCATTTTGCCGCTCATGGAGTGGGAACTAAAGGGCTTCTTGGCACAGTAGATGTTTATAATCTGTATTGACTCTTGCCTTTCATGTCAGAGGTTTGTTACTTCTATTACTGCTTAGTTCCAAGAAGGTTATTTGATCACAAAGTGCTGGAGTGAATAGTTCAGGTGCTTATCTCAGCCAGACCACCTGAATGAGCAGAGTATAATACTGTAATATCCCAAGTCAGCTATACAGTCCAGTGAAGAATAATTGTGGCACTTCTTAAACTTGAGAACATAAATGCACCTGCTGAGTAAAATGTATACAGATGGCCCTGCTAATCCTCTCCTTTGTCAGAAGTTTTCAGGCTGTAGATTTTACTGTTACAGTTACATAACAAAGGAGTGATGCGTGGCATCTCTAGCCATTTTGCACTTTAGGCATTTTACAGTTGTAGCAGGTATGCAGTCCGAGCTCATCCTCTGTGTCACTTAGGATGTCTCTCCGATTAATTTAAAGATCAATAATAGCTGGCACGCTGCTGATTGAGCCAGCAGATGAGAAGTGCCACAGAAATGGATGAATGCTAAACACTTTCATTCTCAGAGATGTAAGAAAATAAATGCCTTCTTTAAGTTTCAGACACTAAAGATTTGTCTGTGAGTAATGAATTAAATCTTTTCTGGAGCATTCTCTGCCAGTGAGACCAACCAGCATGGACTGGCTGGCAGTTATACTGCATGCACCTACCAGCTCTAGCTCTCACAGAAGGGACTGAACGAAGTTCATTATGGAATACCCTTTCAAGTTTACAGCTGAAGGTCTTTCAGTAGGTGGAAGGTGTTGGTTCAAACTTCTGCTTTGGAAATGAACCCTCATCCTGATTATGTGAAGATGCTGCAAAAAGCTGGTCACCCCCACATCACCACAATTCTGGTTCTGAGCCCACCCAGTTTGGCTCTGTGCACAAAATGAGTCACCAGCAATTGTTGTAACTACATGGTGCTGGTCTCACTGCAGTGTTTCTTAGCTTGCAGTGCTGTGCTTAGGGATATGGTTTAGTGGGGACTGTTAGTGTTAGGTTAGAGGTTGGACTCGATGATCCTGAGGTCTTTTCCAACCTAGAAATTCTGTGATTCTGTGATTCTGTGCTGTATGGTGCGATGTACCTTGCACTCTACCTTAGCAGCATGTGTGACTTGGAAAGCTCATGTTCTGTTTTTTCAGGAAATTAATTACACTAGTCCTATCTCAAATTAGTATCTCAAAGTCTAAGCAGTTCTCCTAATTTAACCACAGCTGGCTTTTAGGTCTAGCTGTCCTGCTTGTGTTACACTGAAAAGTTGCTACAGATACCAAAATGATCCGAAGTTTACAAAAGGAAGTGTTTGCATCAGTGAAGTCCTGGGGAGTGAGGGCCTTGCCTCATGTTCAGATTTAGCACCCCTGGCGACAGAATGATTTGCTTACAGAGAACATTCATTTGTAGTGTATATTAAAATAGCAATACTACTAAACTAGGAGGAAAAAATAAGTGTTGTTTGTACCAGAAGCAGATTTACCTACTCTAGCCCACATTTACATCTGAGAGCAAATTCATTTTAGTACGCTATTGAATGAACAGAGAAGAGCGCCCTGAAGAGGGTTCCAGTTCTTTAGCTGGGAGTAAAATCTAGAAACTTTCCTATGAAGGCTTGCATACAATGAGCAGCTAAGATGGCAAAAACAGTTACTGTGCTACAGTACTGCTGAATTTCACTTCATTTACCTATTTTGCTTTTCAGTAGCTTTTACTTTATACTGTCAGTATGAAAATAAAAACAGGTTGGCTAAAAATTAGCAGCCAGCTATTTTCAAGCAGAAGGAGGGTCATCATCCTGTTCCTTTTGACTAGCTAATCTGTCTAAAAAGTTTATAGCAAAGCTATCCTGAAGTTTGAAAGCATTTGTATTCAGCCATTCCTGTACGATGTCTGGGAATTTTCTTTTCATGTTTTCTGGAACATCTATATTGTAGCCCCGTCAGACCTATTAATAGCTTTTTATGTTTTTCTTTTAAAGCAAATTGATGGAGAAGCATTTCTGCTAATGACCCAATCAGACATTGTCAAAATAATGAGCATTAAACTGGGACCAGCCCTAAAAATCTTTAATTCCATTCTGATGTTCAAAGCTGCAGAGAAAAACTCACACAATGAACTTTGAAGATAATGGAAAATGTGTACAAGCCAGCTTTCTCCACTGGAGCTCATGTTTTATTCAAAGCACAAAAACTCACTAGAATTGTTGAGTAAGGACTCTCAGAAAGGAAGCAAAGTATGTTCAGCACTGGTGGACTATTTATATTCTCCAAGAGCCAGTACACATCTGAATCCTTCTGGGAAGTGCTCAAGCTTTTAAGAAGGTACTGTGTAACAACCGAGTCAGCTAGTCTTATTTACCAAACTAATGGCGCTAATTCTCCATGGGTGGTTAGGATCCCTAACTCTCTCTGGACATCAAGAAAACCTTCATTGATTATTTATGCTGTATTATATAAGGGAACGTTAATATTTTCTAAGAATTCTTGAATTCTACTTCATGTACCCATTTTACTTTTCAGTAGCATTTACTTCATACTATCAAAATAAAAAATGATTAGCCAAAAATTAGGCTACAGGTAGCCAGATTAGACTGTTATGGCTAATATGAATTTGTGCCATAGTTTAAAAATGAAACAATGTTACATATGTGGCACTTTATGCTACAGCATATGACTTTGCAGATTATAAAACTGTCTGTTTGCTTGTAACAAAACAAAACAAACCTTCTTGGGGTTGAAATTCTAATGCTTTTTTGATAACTGAATGTTTTTACTTTTGCACGATTACAAAAATGTTATGTGAGTTTTTCCACCAGCATCTTTAATGTATTTTACCAAAAGATCAATATAGAGAAGGCTGCAACTGAAAAATAAAGTTTGACTTCATAGAAGACTTTCATTTATGCTGCACAATAGAGCCCCAGCCTTTTACCTGGGAGCGTGCTACAGTCCTTCAGCACATGAAGGAAAATAAATGTATTTGAGGTAATGCTATTATCAAAAAAAAAAAAAAAAAAAACATATTTATTCGTGTCTGCACATGCTAGTCTCCAGTATACTTACAACAGTGGAGAAAAACAGTGTGCTAAGCTAGGACTGCTACTCTGGCTTCATATTCAACATAAAATTGTTTTCCAGATGGTGGGAAAATTACTTAACCCACCAATTCCTAGTTCAAAAGTCTGATTTAAAAGTGAGTGAGGCATAGGAAGAAAGCCAAAGCATGGTGGAAAAGGCTACTTAAACACATACGGTGCATAGGCATGAACTAGGTAAAGGGCATGGATTTCAGCAGGTCATTAGCAAGACTGCAGATTCCACTAGCAGGTACTTAAGTGAGGCAACCGTCTTTCTCGGAGGATTATTATAACAATTTGTCAGGGCAAGTTGTTGCACATGGTATATATATGTAAGATGTAAGCCGGATGCACTTTAAATTGAGGAAAGCCCAGCTATTGAGGACTGTATCAGAATTTTGCTTTTGCAAGGAGAGAGAATTGGATCAAGCTTTTGGCAGCCCCCTCCTTAGCGCTGAGGTGGGCAGTTGCTCAGTCTGTAGAGTTATGAACAAACAGTGTTTCTGTTGCACAGAACTTGGAGAATTTTAAATCTTCACACAGATTTTGCTAGGCTGTTTTTTGGCTGAAGTTCCTCAAGATTTCAAGAACTCTTTGTCCCTTCCAGATCACACTTGGGGACTGGTACCTGCCATAATGTGAGGTAAAACAGGGTCAGTATGAAGTAAGTTGCATTGCTCTGTTAATTTCCTTCCATAGCATTGCATAAATAATATTTTTACATTTTGTTCAATATTTGTACAGTCAAATTGCACTCTTATTGTACTACAATAAATAAAACCTGAATTGGAGCTGTCTGTTACATTTGTGTGTGTCCATGATTCTAAGATGAACCCAAGTGTTCCAGAGGGTGGTGTGGAGTGCTTCACTGTATTTCAGTGTGGCCATGAGTTTGAAAGCACAACTTAGTTGCTGCTGTCTGACCTTGCCCCAAACCCAGTCTCACCTGAGATTCATGGACCTGGGTTTTGTCACTGCCAACAGCTGAGGTTGCCTATGCAGAACAGTAAAATGCCAAACTGTTACGTTTTCTTTCCTTCTGTCCTTTCATGTAGTTCATTTCCTTGAACCCTCACCGTCTGTGTTTATCCTTCTCTCATGTGCCAGTTCCGTAACCTTCAGTGAGACCCAATGATTTCCCACTCAAGAGATCACTCAGCTTCCTGAGTTTCTGTATACCTAAGTACATAGTAAAACTTCCTAAATTTTAGTATACCACAGTACAGAGTATTTTTAACTGTATATATACAGTACTATTACTACACTATTACTATACTACAGTACTACTGTATATATACAAAGTACTGTGGTATACAGCGTACTGTGGTTTAAATAAATGATTTAGAATTAATACTGTTTACAAGATGTAGAAGAAAATGTGATGAGGTAATAGGGTATAGCAACTTCTATTACAAATATTACTCCTAACAAATGCACTAGGAAACTAAATATACTCAAGGACACCTAATGAATCTTTAAAATGGCACTTGCAGTGGTTTTCAGTGCTGTATTGGAGGTAACCCACCAGTTACATGGGCTAAGGATATCCCACAATTTCCATGGAAGGCAAGTGACTCCAAAGACTTTAGCAAGAGAGTCTGGCCATTAAATGCAGTCAGTATTCTCCTCTCATACTCAGTCTCCCACTGTAATCTCTGAATGGGATGCACAGCCAAGGGCTTTCTGTTTGGGTGTGAGGAACAGTGGTGACCACAAATATTGCTTTGCCTGTATGGGCACTTGTGAGAGATGGAGCTCTTTAGCAGAATGTAGTGTTTTAATAAAATGCTATTTGCCATTCTATATAGATTAATTAATGCACTGGTTAAGTTTGCTGGCAGCTGCTCTTTCCATCACTAGAAGGCTGTCTGAAGCCATCCACTATCAGGCTCTAATCCCTTGGATTTCCAGATATGCATGGGGCTTAAAAAGTTAAGAAGAGTTAGGGAGAAGAGAAGGTTGTGGAGAAGGAGAAGAGAGGGTCTCTGTTCTGCGTGGGCAGATGGGATATGTACATGTGGAAAAGGCTGCTCCGTTCTGAAAAGCAAACTCAGACAGAAAATGAAGCATTCATTCCCCATCGCCAAAGCCATGGTTATAAATGCACATGGCAGCATCCCAGATAAGTCCTTTTTGCTACTTTGAGAGCTCATCTCAGAATCCTTATTTAGCAAATTTAGGATTAATATTAAAAGAAAGAAGAAAAGAAGATTTCATGCATGGATAAAAGAAAGAAAATTCATCATCCTGCAAAACTGTAAATCAGGCCCAGCATTTTAAAACAAAAACAAAAAACAACAACAACAACAAAAAAAAACTATTTAAGTACTTTTAGTGATCATATCCTCATAACATAATGAGAGTGGTAACCAGTAAATCTAATTTCTGTTGCTTCAGGACATTAAATATATTAGCATCTAAAGCAGCAAAGTGCTCACTAACTCACAAGTATTTTTTTTAAGCTCTGATGGTCAAAAATCAGAATTTGTAAAATCCTCTGAGAAAAAAAATACACAACACATAGTAATCTAGAAAATTTTATTTTCTCTAATACTTCCAGAGCGCTCATTTAAAATAAAGAAAATGCTCAGATTTCAGATTTTTATAAAAGTAGCCAGTACAATTAAAAAAAAAAAAGCAGTATTAAACATAACTGTTAAAAATATACATACACTTTCACTAGAAAGAATGGCACTGATTCATCTTCACAACAAAGAGATTTATTTTGACAAAATGTTCCTGAGACGAGTACTGTGCATACTAGAAAATACTGGGATTTGCACTAGCAAATACTGGGATTTCCAGCCCTCTCTTTACCTGAGCTGGGAGGAATGCTGGACACCTCATCTCAAAGACCAGAGACTCCAGGAAGTTCAGTGTCCTATAGATTCTGTTTGGGCACGGGATATCAAACACGTAAAATGCAGCCACCAGTGCTGCCAGGGCTGTGGTGCAGTCCTCAAGCTGGGCTACCTCTTGTTTCTCTACATACAGAGCAAACTCACATGAATTCACATTGAAGGGATTTTTAACTTCCAACACTGGTGTCACCACCTTCACCTAAAAAAAAAAAAGGATATTTCAAATGATGTCACAGCATCACATTGGGTGAACTGAACTGTAACTTGTAATATCTCAGAGAATTCAGTAAGCCTAATAACATTTGGAATTTAGCTAGCATTTCTGTTAGTATTTGCTCTTTATCCAAAAGGCAGGCTACATCATCCTTTTCCAGGAACTAAGCTGAACCACCAAAAGGCCAAGGGATGTGCCCAGGCAGCTCATATGAGCAAGAGACCACAGCCAGTGGTGCTGTCTCCTACCTCTTCGTTTACTGCAGCAAACAGACTAGAGTCATCTCCAAAGACATCTGGCAGAAGTAAACATGCAGCAGTCATCTTCATGTCTGTCAAAGGCAAGGATTTCTACTAAATTACAAATGAAAACATTCTGGCACTCTGATATCATCCTGGAAAGACAAATTGTGGCTTATGAAATAGCTAACAGCTCAGCAGTGGAATTGCTGCTCAGTCCCTTTTGAAGAGTAATTTGTGCCACAGTAAAGGTTTAGGTGCCTCAGCTGGCAACGCACAGTAGTATTTAAATCATTCATGACACTCATGAACTCAATATTATGATTAAATTTCTCTTATGCTAGGCCTTGCTTCTAGTGGAGTTTGTGAGCTGGATAATCCTCCTGCCACCACTGCTCACCCCCAAACTCCTCTCTACCCAGTTATCAGTTTGTTGTGCTCAATGATCCTTGCGGGTGCCTTCCAACTCAGGAGGTTAATTTGTGTCATCTGCCCAGTCTCATTTGTGTCATCTGCCCCTTCCCAGCCTCTTGTGCATAAGCCCCCAAACTGTGGAGAAGAGCGAGAAACAAAGGTAGCCTTGATGCTGTGCAAACACTGCTCAGCAACAGCTAAAACATTACTGTGTGGTATGAGCATTGTTTTGGTCACTGATCTAAAACACACGACCATACCAGCTGCTACAAAGAAAATTAACTCCCTCCCATCCAGACCAGAACAGATATTCACAGCATAGAAGATTTGTACTGACATTTTAGAATGTCTTCCTCTGTGTGCTGTTTCAGATTTTCTTGCAGCATAATGGTAATAGGATTATTCTTCACCAGATACAAAGATAATATGTTTTCTGAATAAATCTCCAAAATCTCAACTGTTTTCTGATAAATGTTCATGTGTGTAAGAATCTGGAACTCCCGAAACAGCTAAAAAAGAAAAAAAAAATAAAAATAAGGGATTATTGCAATCCTCAAAATCAAAAGTAAAAACAAATTGAGATGCATGCTTTGAAGACAAGGTAAGACTAGCTCAGTAAAATAAGATCTATAAACTGGATGAGGTGATAGTTTAATTTTTTTCCAAAACAGGCAAGATGTACATCAAGTATCAACAAAGTACTTCCAATAACTCACTGCTGTTGTGTGTGGCATGTTTAACTAGTGAGTCTTTTAAAGTGGTGTTAGCAGTAAAAATACAATAGATTAAACAGAAGAATGTTGATGAATACTTCACTAGAAACATCCAGTAAGATAAATGCTCGCAGTTGTATTACATCTATAATATTAAACTCAATGCCATTATTAAGTATAGATCTGTTACCTGATAAGGGCATCTTAAGAAAGGAAATACTCTAAGAATGTCTTGTAAAGGTGCCTTATCACTGATCATCTTCCTTCGTATTTGTATTGTTGCATTCATTCTGTTGTTTACTTCATTCCAGTTTCTCTGAGTTTTCATATATTCTTGCTTCAGCCAGTTAATGTTCTCATACATTGCATCACCTTCAAGATAAGCAGGATCATCCTATCAACAAATGAAGGAGAGAATTGTAACAAATCTGCTATCCTTTTTATCTGACATGGGACCTGTGTGATTTGATGTCAGTCCACACTGGAGACTACATGAAAATGTTGTAAAACTCAGCAGAAAGGACCTGTAATGTGACTTAAGTACTGGCTCTGTAGATTTACCCTCATGCTCTATTAGCTGTATTAAGATCTGTTTTCATATAGTAATAGAGCTACCAGCCAGGTCTCGCAAGCTCAAATTACATATTAGAGGAGATTCATGAGATTCCTGTGCCTGTGCTTGGTTTGCCTAATTGTGATTTATTGGAAATTAGAAAGCATTTCTAATGATGTCTCAGTGTTACTCCTTTAGCAATATCAGCTCTATACTGCCAAGAGAAAAAGTATTTTCATCTTACTCAAACAGGCAGGACAACAAACTTCCACATTCACACAACTGAAGTATTTACCCAAGGAGACCTGAGACCAGAAGAACTAAGAGAAAGAAAATCTTTAATGGAAAGCATTATTTGATTAGATTGACAGTTAATGTCTTCATACTTGAAGATACTATTAATGATTCCTCAAAATTATCAATATTGTCTCTGCTGTAATTCCACAAACAGTAATTGCTCAAAAGAGGGATGGCTATCCAAAGCAGTGCCTCTGCGGCTGTAGCCTGGGGCTGTGTCGTTTCTATCAGAGGAAACAGTGAATTTGTCCATTGAAACAAGCTGAGAAAACATACAGTTGCATTGTTAGTATGATTACCACCCTCAAGCTGCATTTACACTGGCTTTTCCCAAAAGTATTGTCACTGATGCAGCTGTCATCTACGCCAGTGGTGGCCTGTGGGCTGGAGCCAATGCAAGTTGAGACACCTGATTTTGTTTCCCAGAACATTTAAGACAAAACTGCAAAACATACAGCATTCAAAACTGCTTTCTATATGCAATTTAATTTTCTGGTTAACATCCTTTTTA